GCTGAACTCGTATGATTGGGTATGAGATGGTGCGGATGATGAGTAGGGTTGTGGATTAGCGGGAGGGGTAGGGGTAGGGGTGTTCCATGATGGAGGATGAGCGGAGGACTGACTGGAGGGATAGTAGGATGGTTGTCCATGGTTGTGAGAGGGTCCAGACGAGGCAGCTGGAGATGACTCGTAGTACGAATCACCATTTGGGCTAGCATATTGCTGCGGCTGCTGGGGTGGGTATTCATACCTAGACTGTGATTGTGAATATGGCGTGGGTGTAGGGTATGTGTTGGACGGTGGTGCTCCATACTGCGACTGAGGCCGTGATGATGAAGGGTATTGTTGGTGAGATGAAGACGGATGCTGGTATTGACTAGAAGTAGTTGGCTGACTGCTATATTGTCCAGCAGATGGATATGGTTCCTGGAAAGTGCTAGATGTCGCGCTCTGACCATCATAACCGGATGGATAAGCAGTGCGCTGCGGTGGAGACTCATACGCTGTTCGTGAGCTTTCGTATCCCCGCTGATCTGGTTGCTCATACGCTCCCCTTGAATTCTCGAACGGGGGTCGTTGATTGGGACCGCCTTCATAAGCAGACCGTGACGAATCAAACGAGGAAGTGCGCGAAGCCTCGTATGTTACTCTGCCTTGCGAGTTAAACACGGGAGCGGCTGGTGAAAAAGGTGCAGTCTGCGCAGGGGGATGCATAGTTTGCCGTTGAGAGACAGCGGAGGATGCAGGTGCAATGGATGGGGGTGCACTGCGGGAATTCTCAAACACGGCTGCTGCAGGCGGGGCTATCAGTTGCGCCCCAGGTGGCGGGGGTATGGAACCTCCCAGACGCGAGCTTTCATAGCTGGCGCCGCGAGGTGGTGGAATGGCTCCACCTGGAGGAGCAGACGGCGGAGGGTGAGTCGGCGCAGGAAGTTCGACGCCACCCGGTGCACTTGGAGCACCCAGCATCGGATCTAAACTCGTTGATGATGGCCATGCGGGTAGCCCCACTAGTGACCCGGTAGGAGTCTGCAAGTCTGGTGCACCATTGGAAGACACTGTGCCGTGCCGAGCACGTTTGGAATGACCGGAAGAAGTGACTGCCGAAACCGGGGTATCGTTTTCATCTTCTTCATTATTGTTGTTCTCGGTATCGATCGGAGTAGTGAGTGCAGCGATAGGACGCTTGCGAACACGAATGTCTTTGCGGATCCGGATCTTGATACCTTGATCGGCTAGCGAACATGAAAGAGGTGTGGACTCTGATGAATGCAGGTCAGTTATGCAACGAACAATCAGCCAAGAAGGAAGCGTTGAGGAATTAATTTGCATGATTAAACCTTACGCTCACCTTCCATACCAGGGAATTTCTTGGCAGTGTAAACATAGAATGGTGCAGAGTATATTGATTTACAGTGGCGGACGGTGTTGCTGAGGAGAAGTTAGGGATGTGAGTGGGTGGTTAGTCAGCGAACTCACCTGACGACTTCGAAGAGGCTAAGCTTCAAACGATAAGAACCCTCGGTTCTAACGCTTAAGTCGGGGAAAACGAAAAAGCCAGCATCCTCATTGCGATTTTCGGTATCTTTGAGGTGGTAGAGGGACGAGACAACTGAACCTGTCGTACACCGCGTTTTCCCATCCTGACAGCTAGCAATCAGAGAGAGATTATGATGACGACAATATACTGACTTTTAGCCAGTGTAGTTCGGTGTCGTCGTCAGGTTTTGCCAGACTTGCAAACATGAAGTAATAAGGGTTTTGAAGGAAGCTGTGGGCATAGCTTGGATCTGAATCATCGCCATCTAGGCGAGCTGGAGAAGGAGGTTGACGAGTTTGTGGGTCGATAACACGAAGTTGAATGATGGGAGGTGGGTCGATTGGACGTCGGTCAGCTAAGCGAGGATAAGCTTGTGTGAAAAGGAATAAAGGTAGCTGACGTACCTCCTACACCACACATACGGGCCTGTTTTGGCTCCTGCCTGACAGTAAGCTCATATTCCCTGTGCGGACGATTAAACATGTCAGTGAGGAGAAAGATGATATAGACAAGGGGGATAGAAGTAAGTTATCTGATACGAAGTTGAACGGTGATGGACGTTTAACTTTGATGCCCTTAGTAGTAGGCGGAACCGTAACATTGGAACGATCTTTTCCTGTGTGAAGTGGGAGCGCTGGAAGAGGACTTACAATCTGTCTCTCTCATGATAACCTCTGTCACGGTCAGCGTATCCATAGCCAGCTGTGATAGGATGGTAAGTGGCTGGGTCCATTATTGTCGAGCTCGTCGTCGTCAACGATGATGACGATGAGTATCTTGATAGGACCTTTGTAAAATCGATGGTCTATTGTTTTGCTGGCTGGGAACCACGTTCCAACCCAAACCTGGTTTATGACATGGCAACCCAACAACACGGGTCCCACACACGTGGCAATCAGTCCTAGATTCAGCTCCTTTCAGCTCTCACCAGCCCTGAACCCTGTCTACTTTCCGTTCCATCGGCCCTCATCGCGTCCTACAACAGTACAACGTCAAGCGATGGTAGGCAATTATAGCAGCTCATTTTACCTTTAGTCGAGAAAACAAACCTTATCATCATCGCGTTCTTGTAACTAACTTATACAACTGAACTTTATATCTTCAGGTCAACCCATATGGTTCGTCGATCTTCCCAGACCACACCTATGAATGCCCATGTGTTGCATCATTATCGGACCACGCAATTTCCCTGCAACGGATCACTTCTACCACGCGACACGAACCAAATCTCACCCCGACGATCAACTCGCATCTTGGCGAACCGTAGGTACTACGATATTCATTAAATTGACCTCGTTCCTGTCTCTCATGACCGACCTACTTTAGCCTACCAGTGCCCCACAGTAGCCCACAAGTCCTCACTTGTTCTCGATAAGTCCATGGACTCCGCGCTTGACATTGCGTGCTGTCATCTCAGAACTAGCGCCATATCCGCTCACATCCAGGTTTTCAACATTTCTATTCCTGCAGATGGGCCTTCAAAGGTAAGTCTAGAGCTGGCCAGGCCCCCTTCTAAACTTAACACGCTGCAGATAAGGATGAGCCTCCTCAGTGTACTAACATTCGTGGTCTATGTTTCTTCGTCTCCAAGGGCTATTAAATTTCGATGACAAGCGATCGTCTACAAGCTTCTCTGATACCTTGCTGTTTATTATTGATCGTTTCGTCGCAGGCCCATTTGATGACTGATCATATTGTCACGACGGCTTATCATGACCATATCTGTTCCATGGATATTCAAAGAAGCTTTGTGATTCTCGCGACCATCAGTCCCCATGAATGGTACGCTTCTCTTGGTCTCAGTGTTCTACGTGATCCATATAGTAAACATGGTCGTTCCTTCTCCATCGAGTAGGCAATCTTTGTCCGAGTCTGCATTACCCCTTCCCGACAGGTATTTTTGGCAGCCGTAAAGAAGCGACGCACGAAAATCCACCTTGGGACCAACAACCCGATTAGATTCCTCCATATCGTTGTTCAAGCTCAGCGCTCAGTAATCATGCTTCTTTTACCACTGCTTCGGATGTTTTGCAACAAACAAGGCAAGGTCAGTTGAGGTTCAAGGCGCGTGATATCTGGATTACGAGAAGATTCCGTTTGTTTACCAGGTCTGTTTAGGGGAGGCGACAATGCAGTACGAAAGTCATCCGACAATCACAGTGGGACACTAATTCTCTTTACTTACCTCTGAGTTAACTAGGCTGTCATCCTCATTGGTATACTACATACGCCGGACAATTCTATCCATTTTACGGAACTCAGGGATCTATAGCTAACATACGGACCGCACGGTGGGACAAGCTGGCATATTCGGAGCCCAGGGATCTATAGCTAACATACGGAACGCGCGGTGGGACATGCTGGCATATTCAATGTTCTCATGTGTGTAGTGGCCCGGACAATGAAGGGAAATAATTATTTCCTCGTAGGCTGAGTCATGTCAATTTGATGACACTATTACCATTTCTCCGAGTCCGGATCATGGGAGTAGCAATCAATGCACTGTGTCTCGGGAGGATAAACTGATTTCTCAGGTCATTTCAAGCAAAAGCTTTTCAGGGTTGCAGTACCTCGGAACATCAGCGCGTGAGATCGTGCTACAGAATGCTCAGAGCGCTCTGTAGCACTCTGTAATCATGTGTAATGAATTACGTTTCCCTGATGAACATCAGGGAGGCAAAGTACAGTAGCACAGGCCAACTATAACTCCAATTACATAGTGCGAGTGAAGACACGTCACGATTCCCTCAGGTACTCCAAAATTCAGACACCAGCAAACACACAAAATAATACACACAAGAAAGAATCAAGTACTAAGACTTCGCGTCCCATGGTTCATCCAATAATAAATCCACAGTGGGAAGTTTGCCCCGAAGACCGGCATTTCTCTGCACTAATGTTATATGATTGTAGTAGCTTGACGAATTGATCCAATGAATCGCGGTCCGCACGTTCTAGGAAGGTCGATTGCTTATCGTACTGCTGAATCCTATCATGGACTGTTCCGCTCATTGGTGAGCCGTGGTAGGACTTGACCGCAAGTTTGATGGCTCTACGAGACAGCTTCTGGTTTTCAGACACAAGATACAGCGTCTGCAACACAAGAGTCAAGTCGATCATGTATTTCATGAAGCGTTGGAGCGCCGAACGGCTGAGAAGAGACCTGTTGTTATTATCTCGATGAAGGATAAGAAGCAGGACGTACGACCGCTGATACACCTCGTAAACCCAGTTCGCAACCACAACACTCGCCACTATCGGCACTACGATGGGGGCGGCAGGTCCGGCCAAGGCAGACAGGATGCCCGCAATAGTACCCACAATGGAGAGCCCAAATGCACTGCGAACATGGGATGAGATGAAATCCATCCGTTCCATGAAAGACTGCCCTACAGGTTCTTGTTGGGATCAGCAGTGGGTCCAACGTCCAGCTCATCGACCATCTTCGTCATTATTGTCCTAAACTCTGGGCTACACAAGTGCTGCACGTGAACGGCGTCAGAATATGCGACAACGAATAAAGAAGAGAACCATTACACCATCAGGGTCTTGAAAGTTCCATACATTGACGATGTCAGTGTGAAGCACGTGCAAACAGTCCCACATTGAACGGTTCTTGAATGGTGCGCTTGATGCGAGCGCCTTCCAGTATTCTGAAAGACAGACATGAACGCTCAGATTATGTTCAGTATTTTTGAATACAAAATCGAGACAGACTTCTCTTGCCAACTCTGATACCGCGTAAATCGCAAGATAAGAATGAAGCAAGTAAGGCTCACTCTATTGATGCCTTTATTTTGAGACCAGGATCCACTCGCTGAGCGACGGACGTCATCACAGACGCGTCGGTCCCGATATGCTTACAAACGAGTTCTTCAGTGGTTCGGATCAAATTGGCCAGCGTCTCCTCGTGGTGGGTTCCCTTTGCTGCGCTCAAAATTATATTGAAAACGCAGATGACAATCACAGCAGTGACACCCACTGGAAACTGTAACATGCGGCATATCGGACCCTGCAAATTTCTCTAGGGGTGTAATGCAAACTTCCTTTAGCTTGTCTTTTGCGCTTTTCTTCGTGAGTTCCTGGACGGCCTCCTTGCTCAAATCCTTGGTGAAGGACTTGTCCAAAGTTCTTTCCATGCGGTCGAGGAGGGCGTCGTATTTGGTGAAAACGACAACAATGGGAACTTTGACATGCATTAGCTGTGATCTGGCCAGAACGGTAGCAATCCACCAACATACTTTCTCCTAGCTCTCCTTCGCGTTTCGATGTAAGAAATTGTTCCACGCCGGTCTCTAGTAAACGCCCGCCTGCGCGGGGTATTTCAAAGCAAAGCCTTGTATGTCGTCAGCTTGCCATACAAATGCACTAAGATGGAGGCCCCACCAAACAGCGTGCAGCTGATCTTTCAAATCAGGCATTGCTTTCCGACGGCCAATGAAATCTCGGACAATGTTGAGGTTGTCTTTTTCCCCTGGTTCAAAACCTTTGCTATCGTGAAGAATGAACCTGTCGTTCTGCGGTGAGATGAACTCCTGGTCGATGGTGGCCTCGCCTGGCTGTGCGTGCGAAGCGGTCTATTGACAGTATGAGTAGCTGGACGTTGTGTAGTGTCGTGGTCAACCCACCGCGTTTTGTACTCCAAATGCGTGGTTGATCAACGAAGACTTGCCAACACCGGTCTATTGGAAATATTGTGTCAACACCGGCCTGAGATCAGCGAAAACCTGGTACCTTGCCTATCACCAGAATTCGGAACCTTGAAAGCCCCTGACATCAACCTAAAGAACGGCACTTTACTATAATTCAGACTCACTGAGGACACTTCCGAAAGATTTCGTCAGTGGTAGGCCGGAGTTCCCGGGTTTCATCGGAAGAGAAAACCTGTTCGGTCTGCTAACATACCACTTAGATGGTTTCCGATGGGAGACATAGAGCCTTACTTCGGTTGTTGGATTTCCAGAAAGTTCGACGACCATCTTGATGTTATTATAAACCTTGTTGTATTCTGTGCACGCGAGGTTAAATCCGTGAGCGATCAAGGCGAGGACACGACTATTCTTTCACCTTGTCTTTCTCTTGCACCACACACACGGAACATATCTTCCGGTTCAAAAACAATGTCTTCATGCTCGGTCCTGAGCCCAAGCCATTTCTTGTACCGCACATGCAAGGAAAATGTATCTCCAAGAGAAAGTTTTCTATGATAAAACACAATAGCTCATCAGGTGGATACATTCGGTGGGGTTCAGTCCCTACATGGGTGGAGAAATCGTCTGTTGTAAGGCCTTTCCTGCCCCGTTTTTTATTGGCGTGGGCGACTTGCTAATTCGCACTTCAGCAGACTCTACATTCTTTTTCGAGTTGCTGAAATCGACGGTGACACCTATTGGATATATTCAGTGGGGTTACTTGGCGACAGGAATTGAGTACCATAAACGTGGAGAGGCCAGGAAACCGTTGAGGCGTGAGGAGTATTGGCCATACTGATTTGGGGGAAAAGTCGACTTCGAGCTAATGTAAATTTATATAGAGGCTGAGGGCAAGCCGTGAGTCAGTACTTCAGCTGCGAGGGAGTGAGGTACCCGCGTGCATGCCGAGCTCATGATGGTGCTGCGTGCAGTGGCATGCACCCTGCAGTCGTCATTAATTATAAAATAGAAGACATGTGGGTCACAAGAACATCATATGGCATAGCTGTTAAATCAGCCTGATAGACTCACTGGAATCCACCGGTACTACTGAGGATTCATAGTTGCAACTTGAAGTTCTCCTGGAAGCGGTTCGAGGATAACTTATGATCATGAGGAAACTGGCTGTCTTCCTCGCAATATGACTGCTAAGTATGGGAGACTTGCGCAAACTCATGGCGCGGCAAGGACTCGGAGGGCACAAAAGCTTACCCACCTTCGAGTTGGGATTTTGGTTTGAGCATAGCTAATTTCAAATATGGATCTTTGATTTGCTTACATAAGGGCCAACACAGAAATTCCGAGGCTTGGCAAGGTATGTACACCTGAGCTAACATACATCTATACTGCCCATTGCCCACTGAATCTGGCAGCGCTTCGGGTTGCGTATTTGCCGGTTCACACTGCACACTGCAATGATCATAAGGGTACACCAACACTTCTCTGTCACATCTACTACTAGTACGTTTTCCCGTGGACCCTTCAAAGATAGAGAGAGAATTAATTGGTTGCTTGTAAATGGTCGAGGGCGTACCAAATATGTATGCATGGAGGCTTGGAGCGACCATGCCGTGACTGATTCGAATTGAATGATAGGAGAAGGAAGCACGGTTAGTTAGCGCTCATGCTTCTTTAGAGACCAGCTGTTAGGTGCTGCTACCCTTCAGGCATAGACCCTGTGACCCGTGATCGAGATACCGACCGCCTCGAAGTATGGCTAGCACTCAGGCGCTTGTACGTTCTCCGCCTTGCCCACTCTTACAGATCCTTGTGACCCAACACAGATATTCCGTCGCTTCCAAATGATCAAAGCCACATTGACCTCTGACTCCTCGTGTAGTCCTCAGGCCTCATGTTGTATGCAGCTGCGTAATACGTATACCCATCTAGAATCAGGAGAGACTCGATAAACGACATGCATCGAGCTCTACCGTGCCGCATCGTTTCTGAGACCCTTCAGCATACAGTTGCACTGATCTGCATTTCAGGGATCCTGAATTTATCTCGCAACGTACTTTTGCTCGTGATTCCCCTGCGGCGCTTGCGGCGACATACAAAATATTTTGCGAGCCTGCAATGGATGCGCTCTGGTCTACGGTCATACCGTGTGGTTTACCACCACTGGAACGAAGCTACATCGATCCTCAACACTAAAAGGTCAGTGGAGACCATCGCACTGTTCATTATTTTCTTTCATTAGCTCACAAAGTATCTAAATCCAGTGCACCATGGCCTGTTCAAAAGGCATCGAACGATTGTCTGTGCATGAGGCCAAGTTTTTATGGACTTGTTACAATACCTCGGCACGTTGGAGGCTCGAGTAAAATCTAGCAGTACTAAGTACATCACGTCAATAAAACACAATAAAGCATAGGTTACATTGTTACGATCGGGTATAAATCCAGTTGTATAGTACAAGCGAGCACTCTGTAATCGCGTCAACACTCGAACACCGCCCACACCCAAAACCATCCAAGAAAGAAACAATCGAGTGCTACGACTTCTCGATTTACCATGCTTCGTCTGGTAACAAATAAATATTTGTCTGAAGGTTGGACATTTGTGCTGCAAGTTCGGTGATTTGTGCCCCATCGATCTTGTAAAATTGCATCATCTCTTCGATTTTATCCAAGGTATCGTTATTCGCGTGTTCTAAGACAGCCAATCCCCCAACATAATCCTGAATCCGAATAAGAACATCATCGCTAATTGGAGAGGCGACGTAGGATTTGACTGCGAGCTTGATGGCCTTACGAGTGAGTTCCTGGCTTTTTGACACGATAAAAAGTGTCTGCAACACAAGTGTCAAGTGCATGATGTAGGCCATGAAGCGCTGAAGCACCACGTGGCTGAGAAAGAAGTGTCGATATCCTCTCACACACGAAAAAAATAGTGGGACGTACGACATTTTGTATACTTCGTGAACCCATACAGCGAGCACGGCGCCTGCTGCGATTGGTACTACGATGGGAGCCGCAGGTCCCGCTAATGCAGACACGATGCCCGCAATAGTGCCAACCATGGATAACCCAAATTTCCTGTAAACATTCAATGAGATAAAATTTATCTGTCACATAAAACCGTGATAGGATTAGCTGTAGATCCAGCTTGTATCTTATCGACCATTTCCATCATCAAATCCTTGAACTCTTGGCTGTGCAAGTACTATGCGCAAATCACGTTAGGGCGGATGCAACGACGACAAATAAGATAGCCATCACATGATGAGGGTCACGGAAGTTCCACACATTGACGATGTCAGTATGAAGCACGAGTAGACAATCCTGCATCTGGTGGTTCCTGAACATTGGGCATGATGTAAGCGCCTTCCAGTATCCTGCAAGACATTGAGATTTAGACTGTATTCAGTGATTATGAACGCGAAACTGGGACAAACTTTGCTTGCCAATCCTGACATTGCGTAAATCACCAGATAAGAATGAGGCAAGCAAGACTTACTTAATTAATGCATCTATTTTGAGTCCAGGATGCACTCGCTGAGCGACCGAGGTCATCACCGCGGCCTCGGGTGCAAGATGCTGATTGACACAACTTTCAGTTATTTCAATCAGATGGGTGAGTGCGGCTGCAATATTACACTTTAGAAGCACGCATAAACCTGTCAGAGTATTGGTACCCACTGGAGATCGTGGCGTGGGGGATATCAGACCCTGAAAATTCCTCTAGAGGTCCGATGCAGGTATCCTGCACCTCTGCTTTTGCTTTGCTCTTGACCAGTTCTTCGAAAGCTTTATCGCTCAATTCATCGAGAGAAGCTTCATCTACAGTTCGCTCCACGCGTTCGATGAGCATATCGTATTTAGTAAGGACGACGATAACGGGAACTTGGACAAAGTGTGAGCCCCAACGTAGCAGAGAGGTAGTTATCGATTCACTTACCGTCCCCCAGGCTTCCATCACGTTTAGATTTCAAGAAATCCTCCGTTCCTGTCTCTAGTGAACGTCCGCCTGCATGGGGTATCTGAAAGCAAAGCCTTCCATGTATTTGGTTAGTCTACCATAACGGAATGGTCGAGATGGAAACCTCACCAAACAGCATGCAGCTGATCTTTCAAATCCGGCATGTTCCTCCGACGTTCGATAAATTTTTGGATTATTGTGAGGTTTTCTACTTCCCCTGGTTCGAAACCTTTGCTATCGTGGAGAACGAACCTGTCGTTCTCAGGTGAGGTGAACTCCTTGTCGATGATAGCCTCGCCTGGCTTATCGTGCTCGACGATCTATTGACAGTATCAGTATCTATGCTCGTTGAAGTGTCGTTGCTCACTTGTTGTTCGCCTACTCCAAATACGTGGTCGATCAGGGATGACTTGCCAACACCTACCTATTAAAAGCATGTCGTCAACACTGGCCCGAGATCGGAGGAAGTCAGATACCTTTCCTATTACCAGAATTCGAAACCTTGAGAGCGTCAGCCTCAACGCCAGTGCCTCATGATCACCCTGACTCACCGAGGACACTTCTCAAATATGGCGGAAGTGGTAGGTAGGAGCCCAGAACTTTGGCCGGAAGAGGCAACCTGTTGAACCTGCTAATCTACGACTTAGATGGTTTCAATGCCAGACGTGGATCCTTACTTTAGTTGAAGTATTGCCGGGAAGGTCGACGACGATCCGGATTTTTATTATACAACTTGATGTATTCTACAGATGTGAAGTTGAGTTCGTGTGAGGTGAGAGTGCTATGATTATTATTTTACCTGGTTCAGCAGATACCTGGAAAATGTCCTCTGGGTCGAGAGTAACGTTTTTGGTCTTCGTCCGAAAACATTTCTTGTACTGCATATGTAAGGAAAATATATCCCCGCGAGAAAACATTCTAAAGCAAAAGACACCAAAGTAACTCAGGTAAGAATATAAGTTAGGGTCGAGTGCTTAAAAGTTACATGGGTGGAGAAAACGTCTCGCGTAAACTCTTTCCTTCTTCGCGTTTAATTGGCGAATTGAACTTGCCAATCCGTACTTCAGCAGACTTTACATTCGTTTTCGACTTGCTGAAATCGACGGTGATACCTGTTGGATATATTCAGCGGGGTTGATTATAGTACTTGACGACAAGATTTGAGTACCATAGATGGGGAGAGGCTGAGGAGCATTAGCCATGGGGGTCGGACTTGATTTATGGAAGAGTTCTCCTCTGAGCTAGGTTAACGGCACACCCTGTTTATTCTAAAGTAGAAAACACGTGGATCACAAGAACGGTGGGATAAGAAAGCTACAGCAGGAACTGTGCATGCATGATGCATGTGCATGATGTGGTGCTCTACTACGTAAGTCCCGAGCTGTTCTGGCTGTCGAACTTTCAATTTCCGCAATCATACAGATACTTCGGCTCCCCATGTAACGTAATATTACTTCATCACGCTTCCGAGCGCCTGAGACGTACATAGCCGGGATATGCCATGTATACTAAGATCTATAGTCTCGTAGTCACAAAGTGGTGGACACTGCAAGCCGCTTACATAAGCTTCAATAAACTGCCTCAACTTAAGGCGACACGCAGCTAGTGATGTGCGGGCCCAGCTCAGCCTGAAAGCCCCAGCTTAGGCCCGGCTTTGGGGGGCTTGGGCTTTGCAAAAGTTCAGGCCAAGCCATGAGCCCAAGCCAGGCCAAAGCCGTGGCTCGGCTTGGGCTCAATGACGGCTTTCAAGAACAAAATGATCTAAAATTCAATCTAAGCATATTTGTAACGGTGAGCAATCAATGACATGCACATACCAATGTAAATTGGTACTCTGAGTCGCGCGTGAATTCACCCAGGTTGAGAAGCTCCACCACGCCATTCCCAACACCACGAACACCATGCGCAAACGCCCAGCGCATGTCAGCAACTGCTGATATAGCTCAAACGAGTGCAGATGACAGACACGAGTAGGAGGAGGGAAGAGGATGAGGAGATCTCATGAAGGGTGAACATAAGCACCCATTGACCCCTGCAACATGAATCATTATTTAAATATCGTCAACAAAAATATAAACGCACATATGGTTTGGATGAGACTGCACAGTGCATGAAGATTCTCGGCGTTCTCTAAGTCCTCTGCCAGCTTGAAGATCATCTTCGCAATACATGCCTGCTAAAAGCTTAGTGGTCCATCGTGAGGAATTTGATGATCTGATGATGGACCTTGTGCAGAATATACTCGTATATGTTGGTGACAAGCTTGAGGCTCTTGAACGGAACACAAACACCATGGAGTACGATGAGGACAGTGATACAGATGGGAGTGTTGAGACATCGACTTCTTCTGAGAGCTGCCATGTGGCTAGCGATGATTGTTCCAAGCACTCATAGATGCGAACGTGATTATCAGAAGAGACAGTTGCCTTGCAGAGGTTTTCATAAATTTTTAAATGAGACGAATGTTACGGTACATTTATTCTCCTCGCTTCTCCTTTGTTACTGGACAATGGTCCTTTGTCACGTCTGTTACTGAACGACTGATTACTTTCCAGACTCTTACTCATATCATCACTAAGCTTACTTTCCGTGCCAGTAACCATCACTATGTCTAGCCGTTATCTCTTATCAAGCGGGCTGTCCGCGCCATGGTTACTATCTCTTCTCTTATTGTCTACCAAGCGGGCTGTCTGCCTTCTATCTTGATACACATTTACAAGCTCCGCTTGAACTCTCGCTATATAGACACATAGCGTACCACTTGTATTCTTCACTTTAATCTACTGGGTTTTACCTGGAACAAGTCCTTTAGCAAGGTCCCCAACCTTGCTATCTAAGAACCATTATTCTAAGGAAGTCGCCAACACTTGCCTTAGCCAGAAACCTTCGACCTCTCATTCGAGAGAAGAACCACGTCTGTCTCGCCGAATCTCAGTCCACTCGAACTAAGACAGCTCGACCTATCCCAGTCATAACAACGAATGCCTGACATACCAACTTCAACCCAAAATGATGAGGGGCAAATTCGACCGTGCGGACAGTGCCTCTTGCATCAACCAATACACCCATCTTGAGGAACCACATGAAGCAGCCTGAGGAGACCTCTGTTGGATTCTGGGCAAAAGCTGCAGCCTGAGCCGCTGGCTCAGGCTTCTCAACACCTCAAGCCGGGCCCTGGGCCATGGTCAGGCCCTGACTTGGGCCCGGCTCGGCTCGGCCTAATCAGGCTCGGCTTTGGCCGGCCCACAGCCTGAAGCCGGGCTGTGCACATCACTACACGCGGCGGCAGCCCTTCGATACATTGAGGTGCTAAGGGTGCAATTTGCTACAGGAAATTAAACATATTTCTCTTGGTGCCCCTGCAGTGAGCTTCTTCGCAGTATCCATAGCGCTGAAATTTAATTTCTCAACAAAAGCAAATTGGGCCAGCAAGTCTTTGTATACATATGTTGGTACTCAGCCTATCTATGGATCTGAAGATTCTGAACCTCTAACAGAGTCACTCCAAGGGGGTGCTCGGATCTACATTTCCAGTATGCCCTTGTCTTCAAGTTCTCCTTGAAGTCCCCGAAGACTTACTTGTCTAGGGCAATCAAAAATTTCAACGACACAATGATGTGTCTGTATCTAGGTATTTGCCATGTTCGTAATAGAGTGACAGTGTTTCTGATTATATTCATAGTCCAGGCTGTGTCAATGGCATGCATGCGGCTAGGGTCAAGTGTATAATATTTCTATGTAAGTGAACACGAAATCCATGCTGTCTGCAGCATGGATTTTGCATCCACCTCCCCTCTAACGGTATCTGATGGTCACTCCAAATTTATGCACTACACAGTCATCATCATTGGTCAGATTTTTATCCTGGCATTTGGATATGGCTTCCTTGGTGCTGTTGCTTATTATGTGTGACAATACCTTGGCACATTGGAGGCTCAAGTAAAATCTAGTAGTAAGTACATTACGTTAATAGAACACAGTAGAGCACAGGTTACATTGTTATGATCGGGTATAAATCCAGTTGTATAGTACAAGCAAGCACCATCTGCAATCGCTTCAGCACTCAGACATCACCCACGCACAGAACCATCCACAAAAGAGACAATTGAATGCTACGACTTCTGAATTTACCATGGTTTGTCCGACGACAAATCTACATGAAAAGTCTCTGCTTGAAGATGGGACATTTGTGTTGCATCGATCTTGTAAAATTGCATCATCTCTTTGATTTTATCCAAGGTATCGCCATTCGTGCATTCCAGGATTGTCAATGGCCTGACATAATCCTGAATTCGAGTAAGAACCTCCTTGTTCATGGGAGAGGTGAGGTAGGATTTGACTGCGAGCTTAATGGCCCTACAAGTAAGTTCCTGGCTTTCTGACACGATGAAAAGTGTCTGCAACACGAGTGTTAAATGGATTATGTAGGACATGAAGTGCTGAAGCACCGCATGGCTAACAAAGAAGTGTTCATAGTATCCCTTCGCACACGAAAAAATAGTGGTGCGTATGACATTTTGTATACCTTCGTGAACCCATACGACGAGTACGGCACCTACTGCGATTGGTACTACGATGGGAGTCACAGGTCCCGCCAAGGCGGACACAACACCTGCAATAGTGCCCACCATGGATAACCCAAATGTCCTGTAAACATTCAATGAGATAAGAATGATCTGTAACGCAAAAGACCAGGCCTACATGGTCTTGGTGGGATCAGCTGTAGGTCCAGCTTGTATCGTATTGAGCATTCCCATCATCAATTCCCTGAACTCTTCGGCTGTGCAAGTACTACGCACAAGTCACGTTAGGGCGGATGCAACGACGACAAATAAGATAGTCATCACATCATGAGGGTCACGGAAGTTCTACACATTGAAGATGTCAGTATGAAGCACATGTAGACAATCTTGCATCTGGTAGTTCTTGAACATTGGGCATGATGCAAGCGCCTTCCAATATCCTGCAAGACATAAATATTGAGATCGTATCCAGTAATTATAAACACGAAACTGGGACAAACTTTGCTTGCCAACCCTGACACTGTGTAAATCACCAGATAAGAATGAGGCGAGCAAGACTCACATGATTAATGCCTCTGTTTTGAGTCCAGGATGCACTCACTGAGCGACGGAGGACATCACCGTGGCTTCGGGCACAAGATGCTCATTGACACAGCTTTCAGTTATTTGGATGAGGTTGGTGAGCGTCTCCTTGTAGCCTTTTGTGGCTGCAATATTACACTTCAGACTCACGCATGAACCTGTCAGAGTATTGGTACACACTAGAGATCATGACATGGGGAATACCAGGCCCTGCAAATTCCTGTAGAGGTCCGATGCAGGTATCCTGCAGCTCCGCTTCTGTTTTGTTCTTCACGAGTTCCTCGAACTCTTCATCGAGAGAGAGGCTTCGTCTAGAGTTCGTTCCATGTGATCGATAAGCATATCATATTTAGTAAGGACAATGATAATGGGAACTTTGACAAAGTGTGAACTCCGACGTAGCAGAGAGATAGCTATCGATTCACTTACCATTTCCCAGTGTTTCACTACGTTTCGATTGCAGGAAATCCTCCGCTCCCATCTCTAGTAAATGTCCGCCTGCACGAGGTATCTCAAAGCAAAGCCTTGCATGTATTTGGTCAGTCTACCATAACGGAATGGTCGAGATAGAATACCCACCAAACAGCGTGCAGCTGGTCTTTCAAATCAGGCATTACTCTCCGACGGCCAATAAATCTCAGACAATTTTGAGGTTGTCTTGTTCCCCTGGTTCAAAACCCTTGCTGTCGTGCCTGTCATTCTGAGATGAGATGAACTCCTTATCGATGCTGGCCTTGCCTGGCTTATCATGGGTGACAATCTATCGACATTATGAGTAACTGTGCTCGTTGAAGCATTGCATTTGGCCCACCATTTTGTCCACTCCAAATACGTGGTGATGACTTGCCTACGCCGGTCTATTAAAAGCACGTCGTCAACAATGGCCTGAGATCGGAGAAAGCCGACTGCCAGATAACGAGGAAAATTGTCATCTGGGTCAAAAGTAGTGTCTTTGGTCTTCATCCCAAAAGATTCCTTGTACTGTATACGTAGGGAAAATGGATCTTCATAGGAAGTCACCCTGAGGCAAAAAAAGACACAGAAGCGACCCAGGTGAGAACAAGTGTCGGGGTCGAGAACTTGAAAGTTACATGGGTGAATCAAACATGCGTCGCAAACTCTTTCCTGCTTCGCACTCAAATTCAATTGGCGGATGCTTGCTGGTCTGTACTTCAGCAGACTCTATAGTTTTCGACCAATTGGTGAAATCGACAGTGATATCTGTTGGATATATTCAGCGGGTTTGATGACACCACATGATGACAAGAATTGAGTTACCAAAGATGCTGCAGCTGGAGAAGGCGGCCCTACGTAAGTTCCGAGCTATCCTGGGGTTGATTACAACTTCCGACTGCCACGTGTGCAGCATAAGATAATGACAAGACCTCAAAGACCTCATCAGTTCCAAATCTGAAAGATCTGCCTCTGACTTGTACTGCTCGTATCTTATCGGGATCATTTTGCCAGGTGTAAGCCTGTGCTGGTACACCCCTATCAGCCATCTAGCACTCAACGATAACTGAGGCAATAATTGCTGTCCGTTTCGACATCCTTCGTGTTAAAGTTGAATGAGCTCATGGAGACAAAGATCATTTTGTTTGGACATGTTTTTTCTCGTGTCTTGTCTGCTGGGTCATCGCTCTTAGTTTGTATTCCCTAAATCACATTCCGTCCAATTGCTATTTACTAAGTTGAATAAGGTAACAGGATACGTGGTACTACTTTGGTATGACTCCAAAGTTGTCATTGTGTTTGTTACAATTTTGGCCTAGTGTTTTGTCATAGGTCCACAAGTATGGTATGATAGAAGTCTTGATACGGTACACTAATTTCAAATATGGATCTTATACTGATGCTTGTCTTGTATGCTTCATGCACATGATCTGATTCTAGGTAGGCTGGCTTCGGGTTGGGTATTCGCCAGGTTCACACACTGCAACCATTATAAGGCTACACCAACGCTTCTCCTTCAGTCACATTCACCTTCCCCCATGGATCCTTCAAAGATAAGAGAGAAAATCGGTCGCTTTCGGATCCTCATCATAGGAAGAGCCAATGCAGGAAAAACAACAATTCTGCAGAGAGTTTGCAACACACGGGACCAACCAGAAATATACAACACTGATGGGGAAAAGGTGAGCATCACATTGCCAGTAGGACGATGGTACTGACCCATCAACATCAGATTGATCTCGAAGTTTTAACAGCATCCAGAGGGGTGAGTTGTACTCTTAGTCGATGTCATAAATTCACGTGCTCTCAGTGCAGACTGCATGACATTGAGAACGAAATGGTGTTTCGAAGCAACCCGGGCTTGATTTTTCATGATTCATGGGGTTTCAAGGCAGGCGGCGAATCAGAATTCGACAAGGTGAAGGCATTCATCACTGAGCGTTCCAAGGAAACAAAGATAACAAAATGGCTCCACACTATATGGTAATTGCAACCGGTCAATCACAACATGCGCTATCTCATGGTTTCAACATAGGTACTGCATCCCAATGGATGAAGCATGTAGGTTGTTCACTGCAGCCGAAAATAAGTTTTTCTCTCAGTGTGACACAGGAACCAGTAAGTTTTTGCATCTCACCCTCATCGACATTCGACTGATGCACAGAATCACAACCCTCAGTACCTGTCATCGTTTTATTCACAAAGTTTGATGCACTATACGACGTCGCTTACACACAACTGAAAACGGAAGGAAAATCTAGGAAAGACGCTAGAAAACTGGCCGCAAAACATGCCGAAGAAACATTTGCAAATGGACCGCAATTGAAGTTTCTCAAGGATGTCTGAAAACCTCCACCATGTCATGTATGCCTTCCCAGTAAGCTTTATGGTCAAGTTCTGATACATGATGACCATTGATCCATCAGATATGGACAAAGATGATGCAAATTCTGGACCACTGATCGAACGCACAGCTACAACTTTGGATGATGAAGTACTAAAGCGATTGTTCGTCACGACCTAACAGACCAACTTGGAGGTCTGCATGAAATATGCAATTGAAAGGTAACTAACCATGGTCTCATTCGCTTGGTGCAACTTGGTGTTAACGATTGATGTTGGCCAGAACACTGCAAAATCATCTTGACTCTGCAGAGACAAGCGCATCTGAAGGGCATGAGAAGATAATACGGATCCTGGGCACTTGGTTTCCACATATTTGGGTAAGATTATTGGAAAATTCAAAGGCTGCTCTCATTTATGTCAAACCTTTACTTGCAGGCAGTACGTCTGTCAATTCTCATTCGCGCAACAGCCATGCTGATCCAAGTCATTGCCCACCGTTCGCAGGGAGTGAGTGTGTCGATCCTCGTTCGAGCAACAGCCATGCTGATCCAAGTCATTGCCCACTGTTCGCAGGGAGTGAGTGTGTCGATCCTCATTCGACCAACAGCCATGCTGATCCAATTTGGTGTCCACTGTTTGCAGTTCATGAGTGTGTCGATCTTTGTTCGAGCAACAGCCATGCTCATTCCTCAATAGAAGAAGCTTGGCAACAATCACTGTGCGGTGATACAGTCTAAGTTGCTCTCTGTGGTATGTCCAATTGGTGCCAGATTGTACACATTTCTCATGTTGGGAATTCGCCAGGCCTCTGGCTTATCACCTTTGCACAAGGTTGTTCAGCTCATTTCCGGTGAATTTTGAGGTTGCGTTGTGATAAACCTGCTTATTATTGACCCTTTAGCTGCTGTCATTATCTTCGAACACTCTTTCTATATTTTTGACAAGTGGCGCTATCTTCAGGACAAGGGGCAGTCTGATCCCTCTTTTTATGTTGCACTGGAGCAGTACATGTCATCTCCGCATGCAGCTGCTGTCGTGAAGGGTGTGAGCGACCCCGTTCATGCTTATGAACAAGTGGTGGCTACTTTCACGAAGGAGGAAGAATATTTGTCCTCTCAGGCGAATGTGGAGTTAATCAACGCTGTTCTTGAAATCACTTAAATAATCGCCTGTGTATGTTTTGTCATCATCCTGTGGCAGCAATCCTGCTGATCTACTTGTCTTTCAGCAAAACCTTGATATTAGGCAATGCAATGCAATGTAGATGGTGTTCCAAAGTGGATGAGTTATCTTAGCAGTGAATGTGGGCTCCTCGAGAGGTCTATTGAGGTAGTTTCAGGAGGTGGAACTGTACGGTATGGTTGTATGATCATACAATATATGTAGCGCTTTCCCCGGTATGGTGTATGGGTGTTTAAAGCATGAGAGTTACCCTCAGCTGTGATGGTGGGGAGATCTACTGGGCTTGATGTACCTCCGACGCATTCTTTGTCCGATTCAAGTGCATTGAGTTCGGGTATGTTCTACATACCATGCTGCTCCACAGCCTATCTCGACTTGTGCCAATATTTTTAAAAGTAATACAGTGTTGTCATTTCAGAGTTACATCATATATAAATTCATGGAACGTCCCTGTCAACATCAGTGACACCAGTTGATGCCTAAGACCGAGTTGTTGTTGGTTGATAGCCTTCGAAACTGATGGATTTCAAACAGTGAACGCTCCTTGAAAGTTTTCATTTCTTTAAGGACAGTGTGCAGATTATCATGTCCCTCGATTACAAAGTCAAAGGTGGAACCCTGGTTTATCGCACGTGCGCTCTGTGCATCCCTGAGGCCTACAGTTAGAACTGCACCATTTCACTCAATCATAAGTTCATTGACCGCATGCGTCATATGCTGCAATCTAAATCTATCTTTTCGAGGGACTGAGATGATGCCATCACGGAATAAAGGAGAAATTGACTTACAAAATGTCTGTATTAGGTTCAAGGACAAATTTGCAGCGTTGGATGTCATTTATGTTATGGTCTTCAGTGTAACCTGCAGCCTTTTCATGTGTATCTTATCAATGTATGAGAGAACGCCTAAATAGGACCATAAGAAAATGCTCGCCTTTCTGATCAGTCTAACGAGCTGAATCCCATGAGAGCTTGCTGCGACCGACAGCCATTATGATAATGTCCGACGTCGCTGAGTGTCAGCACCCCAGTGTGCAATTTAAGACATGAACATCTTTCGATGGGGTCGAGTAACACTGACACAAGAAATCGAACAGCTGTTGGCGATCAGCGTCTCTATTTGCAGTCACTCCACACTAAAATATCCTTCGTAAGCCGATCGTGGAGGGACAGTCAAGTCTACCGCCCCAAACCCCCGTACGGGGCGCGAGCCAATGGTCCTCAATTATACCAATGTCAAAATGATCATAGTCAATAGCACATAGCATGTATTGTCTACATCAGGTGCTGCCCCAAGAAGACAATAAATAGGATCTTTTTTAAAACGGTCAAGTCTACCCTACGAGGTGAACATGGGAGCAGAGGATGAAAAAGGTGCGTGGCAGAAGACATACCAGCTATGGGTACTACTATCCGAAATAATACACCCCGTCCGAGCCACATTTTTTTCCTCTGCTGCTCCCTTCTGTATGTCATGCTATAACAGCGAATGCAGCGGGTAAGTACAACCCTCACCTCTGCCTGGCATGGCATTATTCTCAGCCATGGGCATTGACACATCTGATGTGCAAGACAAGCATGAATATGCCTGTCATTGAGCTGGTGGCGACAGGTGTTGGCTGAGTGACACGAACTTGATAAGGCCTGTGTTTACTAACTGTTGCAATGAAATTGGGTCCATTCCACGCGGATTCAAGCATTAGCGTGGACCGCTCATGGTGAAGTCCTGCTGGTGGATGCTGGGAGGGCGAATGTAGGGAGTTCTTGTACCATCCCATGGACACGGAGGCATATCTGGATTGTTCATGCCGTAGGCAGGCTTCCTCCTTGAAGGAGCTGAGATAGGAATTGTTAGAGGGGGCCGGAGGCAAGGGCCCTGGGATTGGGATTGCCCGGATGGCTGGTTGTCGCTTGTGCTGGAATTTGGGTAATTGCTGAATAAACTGAATTTATTGGACAGGTATGTAGCTACATGTGGATGATGACCAGGGTTATAAATTGGTGGGTGGATGCGGATGATGATTGAATGGGAGATAATTTCAAAGTTGGGCGAGGCTGCCAGCCTCTTCGCTGATATGATAACCCTAGATAATGAGTTGTATATCGGACTTTGGGCACTACTTACTGCTATTAGGGCACAAGGTTCAAAATGCCACGTGACCAATCTCTCAGTTCAAGCCCAGTCAAAATTGACAATTGGCTGTACCTGCGTGAATATTAGCCCAGCATGACACCGCCTGAAATCGTGGCAAATCCAGAGTGTAATATGATGTAAGCAGCTGTTGTAACGCTGTAAAGACCACAACAACATTCCGTTACATGTAAAACAAACTGTAAAGCATGTAATGCAGTGTTTCGACGAAGCGCTACAATAGATGCGAAGTCATGTATGCAATATAGCATGCATCCTTGGCTTTGCACCTAGAGTATCTTGTCCTCTCCTTGATCCGTGTCTCCCATTGTATAGTATCGTGCCATTGCCAATCTGTGCCTATAAAACACTTTGTGGGTCCCTCCCCCTGTCCATGCATCTGGTATTGTACCTTTTTCACCCTAGACTGACCAAATATTTGTCGACAGGATGTTGCAGAGTTGCCACTACCCTTACCACAACCATCGAGTCCCCAACATCTACACAGGCCGACTGTGGAAGAAATCCCTGATGAGGACGACACTGTTCATCATCAAGATGAACCTCCTGCATTTCCACACGTTGATGTCCCACCTCCCCTTGACGCAGGTGAGGAGACCCTCGCAAACAACATCTACTCAAATGTCACTCTCAATGACTTGTGTATTTCCTTAGCCTTTATTTTTCGGACTCGCAAATGCTTCCCTGGATGACCCTGAATCTGGGCTTGATGCTGCAACAGTGGAACACATTCAAAATCCGCCCCAACACCAACTGTCTCTTGATGATGACCCTGATCTCAAGGCTGCTGTTAAACTCTATCTTAAATTGTCACATGCGGGGAAGGACTACGAAGCAGCGTGTGAGGTTCTGATGGAATCCAAAGATGTCGATGATTTCCCGACACTCTACCAAGCCAAACGAGCTGTCGAACAGCTGAGTGGCATCTCTGGTATCATGCACGATATGTGCTTCAATTCGTGTATTGGTTTCACAGGTCAATTTGTGCACCTTGAGTCCTGTCCAATATGCAGCTCTTTGTGCTATGATCAGGTCATTCTCACACAAAGTAAGGGCAAGAAGAAAGTCGCACGCAAGCACAAAACAAAGGGAGAGCTGTTACTGTCGGTGAATTTGCTGCATACTGGGACAATATGTTCAAAGAAATGCGAAAGGTTCACATATATGTTCATGTTAGCACTGAGTCGCATTCTCACTTGCCTGGCGGCAGCCATTTGTTGATCAAGTCAAACAAATCAAATGGGTATACCTTTGTATGCTACTGTTGACCTGGCACTGACACTAACTATATTCTCATATAGGCTAAAGCAAGCACTATCGAGTGCGCTACTGGTAGCATGGTCAATAACAGTCACCCCCAGGAATAATTGCCATTGTTTTTCTTGTTGCCATTGTTTCTCTTATCACTGTCATTATTGCTGTCTTCAGTCCTGCTGTCATTTTGTTGCTCTGCTTGTTGCTTTTTCATACTAGATGTGCATGTACATTATGATCCGACCCACGCTGAATTGCACACATAGCTTGTCTCACTCGATTTCACTCGATTTGTGCTACAACCAAAAAAACTTGGTAAATATCGGCTAAGCTAGTGTAGTCGCATAGCGTGACTAGCCTCATTTTCCCTAGAAGCTTGAAGGCCCAAAAAAGCGGTTGATCTGCCAAGTTCTGACAATATTTTGTGACACCGATACTTACCAAGCTTTGCGTGGGTACACCCAATATCCACTTTTCACTGGGGTTCAAGTCTCAGCCAGTTGCTTCAACCCAACTCAAGAGGATCGAATGGACGACGGGGAGAATCAGCTGGATCCGGCACGGCTTGTGTGAATCGAATTGAATGATAGGAGAAGGAAGCACGTGCTCATGCTTCTTTAGAGACCAGCTGACACCCTGGGGCCCTGTGATCGAGATGTAGGAGAGACTCAACAAACAACATGCATCAAGCTCTAAGTACTGTACCGCATCGTTTCCAAGATCCTCCAGCATACAGTTGCACTGATCTGCATTTCAGGGATCCTGAATTCATCTCACAAGGTACTTTTGGCTCGTCATTCCCTTGTGGCACTTAGATGACATGCAGGATCTTTGGCGAGCCTGCAATGGATGTGCTCTGGGCTACGGTCATATCGTGTGGCTTACCACCACTGGAACGAAGCTACATCGATCCTAAAAGGTTAGTGGGGACCATTGCACTGTCAGTGTTTGTTGTTTTCTCTCATTACTAGCTCACCGAGTATCTGAATCCAGTGCACCATGACTTGTTCAGAAGCCATCAAATGATTGCCTGTGCATGAGGTCAAGTTTTCATGCACTATTGCAATACCTTGGCATGTTGGAGCTCAAGTCAAATATAGCAGTAAGCACACAACAGAACACAGTATAACATAGGTTACATCGCCATGATCAGCCATAAATCCAATGGTATAGTCCAACCGAGCACTGTCTGCAATCGCGTCAACACTGAGACACTGCCCACACCCAAAACCATCCAGAAAAGAAACAATCGAGTGCTACGACTTCTTGATTTACCATGCTTCGTCTGGTAGCAAATCTACATCGGGGATTTTTGCCTCAAGTTCGGACACTTGTGCCGCATCCATCTCGTAAAATTGCATCATCTCTTCGATTTTATCCAAGATATCCTTATCTGCATGTTCCAAGATAGCCAATCCCCGAACATAATCCTGAATCCAAGTAAGAACCTCTTTCCTTATTGGGGAGGCAAGGTAAGAATTGACCGCGAGCTTGATGGCCCTATGAGTGAGCACCTGGCTTTTCGACATGAAAAAAAGTGTCCGTAACACAAGCGTCAAGTGCATGATGTAGGCCATCAAGCGCTGAAGCACCACGTCGCTGACAAAGAAGTGTCGATATCCTTTTGCACACAGAAAATAGTGGTGCGTACGATATCTGGTATACCTCATAAACCCATTGTGCAACGAATACGGCGACTGCTGCAATTGGTACTACAATGGGAGCCGCAGGTCCCGATAAGGCGCCCAGCATGGTCACAATAGGGCCGGCCATGGATGACCCAAATGTCCTGTAAACATTCAATGAGATACAATTTATCTGACACGTAAAAGACCAGCCTACATGGTCGTGGCGGTAGATTTAGCTTGTATCTTATCGAGCATTTTCATCATCAAATCCCTAAACTCTTGGCTGTGCAAGTACTATGTGCAAATCATGTTAGGACGGATGCAACAATGACAGATAGAATGGCCATCACCATATGAGGGTCACGGAAGTTCCACACATCGACGATGTCTTTGTGAAGCACATATAGACAATCCTTCATCTGGTTGTTCTTGAATGTCGGGCATGACATGAGCGCATTCCAATATCCTTCAAGACGCGAAGATTTAGACTGTATCCAGTGATTATGAACGCAAAACTGGGACAAACTTTGCTTGCCAAACCTGACATTGCGTAAATTACCAGATAAGAATGAGGCAAGCAAGACTCACTCGATTAATGCCTTTATTTTGAGTCCAGAATGCACTCGCTGAGCGACAGAGGTCATCACTGCGGCCTTGGGCGCAGAATGCTGATCGACACAGCTTTCAGTTATTTTGATTAGGCGAGTGAGTGTCTCCTTGTAGCCTTTTGCGGCTGCAATATTACACTTTAGAGGCACGCATGAACCTGTCAGAGTATTGGCACACACTGGAGATCTTGGCGTAGGGAATCACAGACTCTGTAAATTCCTCAAGAGGTCTGATGCAGGTTGTCTGCACCTCTGTTTCTGCTTTGCTCTTGATGAGGTCTTTGACATCTTTGTCGCTCAATCCATCGAGAGAGGCTTCATCTAGAGTTCACTCCACGTGATCGATGAGTGTATCGTATTTAGTAAGGACAACAATAATGGGAACTTTGATAAAGTATGAGCCCCAACGTAGTAGAGAGATAGTTGTTGATTCACTTACCATTTCCCAGGGTTCCTTTAAGTTTTGATTTCAGGAAATCCTCTGTTCCTGTCTCCAGCAAACGTCCGCCTGCACGGGGTATCTGAATACAAAGCCTTCCATGTATTTGGTCAGTCTACCATAACGGAATAGTCGAGATAGAATCCCCACCAAACAGCATGCAGCTGATCTTTCAAATGCGGCATGTTCTTCCAATGTTCGATAAAATCTTGGACTATTTTGAGGTTTTCTTCTTCCCCTGGTTCAAAACCTTTGCTATCGTGGAAAAAGAACCTGTCATTCTGAGATGAGATGAACTCATTGTCGATGTTGGCCTCACCTGGCTTATCATGGGCGACGTTCTATTGACAGTATGAGTAACTGTGCTTGTCGAAGCACTGCATTTGGCCCACTGTTTTTCTCACTGTTTCTTCGCCTACTCCAAATACATGGTCGATGAGTGATGACTTGCCAACACCTACCTATCAAAAGTGTATCGTCAACACTGGCTCGAGATCGGAGAAAGTGATATACCTTTCCTATTACCAGAATTCGGAACCTTGCGAGCATCAACCTCAAGGAGGGCACCCCATGATCATCCTGACTCACCGAGGACAGCTCTCAAATATGTTGGAAGTGGTAGGCATGAGCCCAGAGCTTTGGGCGGAAGAGCCTGCCTGCTCTGCCTGCTAATCTACCAATTAGACGGTTCCGATGCCAGACATGGATCCTTACTTGAGTGGAAGTATTCCCAGAAAAGTCAATGAGGATCCGGATTTTTTGTTTATACAACTTGAGGTAATCTACAGATGTGAAGTTGAGTTCGTCAGTGATTGAGGTGAGAGTGCAATTATTCTTGTTTCACTTTTTTGTCTTGCATCATATGCACGGAATATCTCATGTGGGTGGAGAGTAACGTCTTTATGATGTGTGGTTCTCAAAAAACGGTTCTTGTGCCACATACGTAAGGAAAATGATTCCTCGTGAGAAAACATCCTAAGGTAACACGGAAGCAACTCAAATGAGAACATGTCTTGGGGTCGAGTACTTACTTTGGTGGAGAAAATGTGTGTCGCAATTTTTTTCCTTCTGGCTCTTCGTGTTTAAGTTCAATTGGCGAACTTTGTGATTGGCCAATCCATACTTCAGCAGACTCTATATCCCTTTTCGACTCGCTGGAATCAACGGTGATACCTGTTGGACATATTCAGCGGGGTTGATGATAGTACTGGATGACAAGAAGTGAGTACCATGGATGTGGAGAGTGTCAAGAGCGTTAGCCATGGTGATTTGATCCAGGGAAGAGTTCTCCTCGAGGTACTTTATCTAGAACTGGTGAGCTGATTATAGAATAGAAAAGACATGGGGATCACAAGAGCGGGGCGTCTGATAAGAAAACACTGTGGATCCAGAACTGGTGTGATAAGAAAGCTGCAGTAGGGACTGGTAAAGACCCAGTGCTCTGCTACGAGCGTTAATTGTGAACTTTCAGCTTCTGCGAACCATACAAATCCAATTGCAACAACAGCGGTGATTATGTAAAAACATCAAGTCAACTTTCTGGCACTCGCCAACTGCCAAAGGTGATTCATCTGCACAGCAAGGTGTCACCTAAAACTCAATCAACTCAACCTACAACTCGGATTGTTCATTACTATCTCTTTGCTTGTCTAGAATACCCACCATCATGTGCTCATCTAGCTCTCAAGCCCCACTGCGTGCGCCCTCCGTCGCACTAAAATTCAGTCTTCGCTGCCCACCTGCATCTCCCCCATGTATGGAGCATTGTACTGTTCGTATCTTATCAGCTGTCAGTGATTTATTGTCAGGTGTTCCAAAACACAAGCCCGTGCCGGTATACCACCTCATTCTCTTCGCACTTGCAAATAGCAATGGTGACTTAGAAATCTCGTCCGTTTTGAAGCTGGACGAGTTCCAACAAAACATAGAAACATCTCCTTCATTTTTTCAGTATAATTTTGCTTGTGCCTCTTTATCCTGTGTGTTGTACTTCTCAGTTACTAGAGAGCAACAAATTTACTTGTATTGGTAAATCACATTCCGTCCTTATTTATGGGGGTAGGCTAAACAAGCACTCCGTCATTTTCCTCCTGCGACTGCACAAAAGTGGGAAGTAGCAGGAGGCCTCGTGAGATCACGCATTGGCGTGGGGGTAGGAGGCATTGCGAGGTTTCAAGACTTGGAGGCAGCGTGAGGCTTCATGAGATTGGGCCGGCCACCATTCACAGACAGTGAGTGTGTTAATCCTCATTCGAGCAACAGCCATGCTGATCCAAGTCCATTGCCCGCCGTTCGCAGAAAGTGAGTGTGTCGGTCCTCATTCGAGCAACAGCCATGCTGATCCAAGTCGTTTCCCACCGTTTGCAGATGGTGGGTGTGTCGATCCTTGTTCGAACAAGAGTCATGCTGATCCAAGTCGTGGCCCACATCAGTAAATTGCCAGGTTCTGTGTAGATCTGTACAGATCTGGACAGCACGCCAGGTGTACAGCTTGGTCCTTACTAACCAGCTTGCTACAGTAAAATTTTCTCTATGAATCTCTGCCACAGATGCTCACAGGCCTGCCCAGTAGGTACCAAATACTAGTATTATTTTCTGTATGTCTGTACAGACCTCTGTCCATGTTTGCACAGGCACTCACAGATGGGCTCAGAGGTGTTCAGTATTGCCAGCTTATTTTATTTGGGTACGATAGCACACAAAAATCATGATATAATTAGATCAGTGGAAACATAAAACTACTGTGATAAACGGTAAATGAAAGGTAGAAACTATACGCGGGAACGTGATATGGCAGTTGATTCTGAAAAGATGATGCCAGGAGCCTCAGTCAAGCTGCACCCGTAGGCGGTGGTGCCTCGATGTGTCAACAGCGTCTAGTTTAGATGCCTCCGCCCTGTAAGAAATTCGTTAGTGCCGAACGCTGTACAAAAAAAAAGCCCAACCATCCAGCTCGAGCCCATTCACCAAGCTGTTGCATCAGCCTGGGACCGTGATAAGGGTCATTCTTGACAGCCTTGAGTAGCCCTAGCATTGCCATATAAACAGACTCGTACTCCTTGGCAGTAAACTTTGGATAAAGCTTGCCATTGCCATGTTTTGCCAGTCCTTGGAGGATGCAATGGAACTGGAAAAAAAAAATCAGAACATTGTGGGGGCAAATCTTTATTGAGAAAGTACTGCCATGCAAACAAGAGCCAAGCATTTAATGGCACCTCTTTTTGAAAAATAGCTGGTCGCCTACGAGCAATGCGATAAGTTCCAGTATAGATGAATAAAATGATGGCTTCAAGAAGCGCAGGGTGAGCAAAATTCCTGGTTTTCCCTAAATCGTCCAGTCCAAAGCGCAGAAACTTGCCATCGTCCAATAATTTAGCAGTGGCATCTTCGACCCAAGCTGCGCGCTCTTGAACAGGGATGTCAGCTGGTGGGACAAGGCCATATGCAGAAGGTGCAATAGCGATAACAATCTTTTTCAGATCAGAACACCAAGTTGCCAGGTCATCGTACAACTAAAAAATAAATGAGATGCGAGGCATATGACAATATATATGCGCACCAGCCTTGCCATGTCTGGTTTGTGTTCGGGCCACACACCTGTTGGATGCCTCGAGTCAATTGACTATCTCGACGGAAACAGGGACTTACCAGCGTCAACTTGGTGGCCAGTTTTGAGCCATTGCACGAGGGATGCTGAAAGACATTCAGTGATTGAGACCGGCATGTCAACAACCAGGCTTGGAAATGGATTTTCTATTGCCTGCTGGGTGCGACACTCCCCCTTCGCATCCTCAAGGAAACTTTTCCAGCTGTGAACTATACCACTCCAATTAGGACACCTTAGGCCCTTCATCGTCAGATCTATTGTCCGCCTTCAATTTCAATTTCGATCCCCATTTTGGCTTTGATTTTGGCCTTTGAGTTGGGGGCAGCCACCTCAGCAGCGTGGAGAAGATCTAGAAGGGCGGGGTCAGGAAGGTGGGGATGGCCGTTTTTCTCGTGATGAACTCTCAAAACATCAGCCAGCTTGAACGAGAAATTAGTGTACTCTAGCAAAATATTAAGTTCATACCTGAGGAGCACTCTCCTGATCTGTCATTGTACTACCCTCGCTCAAATCACCGCTAACTGCCAAAGTCCTCTCAGCAACTTGGTCGTCTTCGTCGCATGAATGCTGGAATTCGAAATCCACTGGCAACGCAGTTACCACTTGAGGCTGGGACAGGTAGTTCTTCTCTTGAAAAACCTGTCGTTCATCAGCTCAACATGATTGAAAGTAAGGAAAATCTTGCCAGGATGTGTAGTATGACGCCCACGAACTTCTCCCCAACCAATCTGCTCGTCTTCACCACCTTCATCCGAGGGTGAATCTTCATCCTTCGACGAATCTGACCCTTCAGAATCTGTACTTAGTGCACTCGACCGGAGTGCAGGATCCAAATTATGGTAGAAGTTAGTGTCTGATAATGACATAGTAGATGAGGTTGTCCTGGAAGGTACTGGAATCTTTGACGCTGAGGAGCAGCGATTGGACGGTGAGCTTCCGAAGCAGGAGCCTGAGATTGGGATGCAGATGGTGACTGCAACCTCCTAGCATTGGCCATGAAGGGGTTGTTTAGCGCTTGCAAATCTGGTTCTGTGCCAGGGGGAACAATGGGAACAATGGGGGGCGAAAATCCATAACGGCCACCAGCTTCACGTTGTGAAAAAGTTGGTTGATCATCCATCAACTCAAAGGTCAGAGCAGGAGCAATGGAAGCCTGCATAAGAATCAGTACATATATATTCGCAGAATAAAAGCTGACCTTGGTCTTCTTTGAGCGTGATTTGGAAGTCGTTACATTCAGCGTCTCCGAGGGGCTATATGGCGGAGGGGGCTGCTTTGTCTGAATCTCGGGTTAGTATTGTATACTACAAACAGGATAAAAATACCTTGGAATGGCTTCCATGACCCTTGCGAGGCGGTTCTGGAGCGAGAGGGTTTGCAGGGATGTTCGTATCAAGGGATGTAGCACCCTTGGCTTGATTGGTCCGCATCGGGGCATGCAAGATGGCGCCAATTTTCTCCAGCTGAGTGTTCCTACCTCCTTTCCTGGCACCTGGACGTCCTGAATGTCGAGGGTTCTGCTGACTCATCCGCTTGATTGGTGGTCAACTGAGATGGTACCTCAACCTGAGCGCGTGCTCTCTTCACCCCACCTTCTTGCCCTTCAGGTGCCTTGAGGTCAGAGTCTGTAGCTTTCCGCTTCGATTTCTTTTTCTTGGGGCTACCCGGCATGGCTAGAGAAGGGGGGAGATGAACCACACCACCAACAACTTGCAGACACTCACATTTTAAATCTAACCCCCGTCGCGCCTTGAAAAGCGCGTAAAAATAACATAACTTGGTCAAAACATTATACGCGTGCACGCCAGATGTAATACAGCGCAGCCCAAATGATGGATGGGGTTGGTGAAGCATAGCTGAGTCCACGAGTCTGCCTTTGCAAGTGAGTCAGAACGCGGTAGGCTGAGAATAACCACGTAAAACCTCCTTTTGTCGAACTCGTGTGTATATATATAGCTGAGCATTTTGAACTTGGTGGGAATCGCAGTCAGAACAAAGTTCAATTGTACACATAGAGGGGGTATTGACTATAGTACTGAGGGTCATACAAGAAAAATTGCGACAGATCATGTAGTTCTACTCCGCTTGCCAGTGAGCTGGGGCGTGACTTCCATTGTCCGGCCCATCCGACCTTTTGTTTTTATTACATTACGTTCATCGACTGTTAGATCCGAATTACCCCGATTATCACCCTCCAATTCACTCGCATTTCTCTTTTGCAGGAGCGCTGCAATAACTCTCCTTGCAAACAGTAGTTCAGGGGAAGGCTCGTTCTTCGGAAGCATGTCGAGATGCGTTTCCAACAGATTAATGACCTCCTGGAAAGTTACCAGTACTTGATGGACCTTTGTTCCTGATCAAATCGTACCATTGCTTTGCAAGTGGGAGTAGACTGGCAAAGTAGGGGTGAAATTGTTGCTGAAGCTTGTGTACGTTTGGGTGGAAAAAGAATGAGGTCTTCACATCGCTGGCTTCTTTGAGCGTGTTGACAGCCCATTGATGTGGTAGCCAGTCTTGATGCCTATCAGCTGAAAGATCACGTTTAATGCCGAGGGGTCCCCTGTATTCGATGCAGATGCACATGAAGACGTAGAAAAGGGATTCGAGATCGTCATGGTAGTGGTGTAGTATGAGAGGGGGGGGCATTGCAAGGGAATGCGTTGCAAGCTTCGCCTTCCAGCTGCGAACAGATGTCGCCGGGTCACCAACAGCCTCTGAAAGCTGCCACAGAAGAGAACGAGACATGAATGGCAATGTACCCTAACAATTGCTGTGAGTACAATGATTCTTGCAGAAATAGAGTAGTACTGACCGTCCCACCAATAGCATATTTTGGGCCTGCAACAATATGCACGGCAAATTCCCAATCGATCAAGGTTCCCCAACCCCCACTGCCATCATCCCAGATCATGGCATTGTTGAGACTATAATCGCGGTGAAGAATTCCGCATTCCTCAACCGCTGTCTGTTGAACTGAGAGATATGTCAGTGGAATGTAAAAGACAGACCAGACATAGTACTATGCACTTTTGGCAATGTCTTGGAGGGCACCTACTAACTCTACTTTGGTCCGGAACACATGTAAAGGTCGTGCGCGGGGCTTCAGAACCAAACGTAGATGTGTACGAGAGGTACCTTTGATGCTTTTGAAAATCTTGTATCAATACTTCACAGTTTCATCGACTTCCCCGGGTGCGATCTCGACAAGCCAATACTCAACCAGTTCTGGCACGCCATGGACCCCTTTCATCTCCTGCAGCATGTTGACTTCATTCAGCACGGCATCTTTACGCCCAAGAATCCAATGATCCTTGATAATGTATTCTTCTTCGTCTCTCCTGGCTAGGTAACAGACGGTGCCTCGACCCACAAGTCCCTGACTAGAGAAAATAAGTTCGAGGATGTCATATACGTGATCGTTAACTGTGATCCTGCCGATCGGTTCTGAAAAGGGTTGGCGAAGAGGGTCTTCGGGTATTTCTAGCTGTGGGGGGTCCATAACGATGTTCTCTGAGTCCAACTCTGACCTTAGCGTATTCGCGTCCGGGTCCATTTCCAAGTCAGACTCAGGTGCGTCAATAACCATATTTGGTGCATTTGATGCAGTGCTTTGGTTTGCACCATCCATCTGGGGGCCGTGCACTTGATCTAATGTAATTTGTCGTCTACCAGAAGGGCGAAAAATTGGGTTTTCGAGCTGGGCAGGGCGAAGTGTCTTGGTGAAGATATTAATGGAGGGGTCGTACCCTATACATTCAATGTGACTGAAGACAACACTCAATAAGATATGGAGGTAATGGTTGGGAGCCTCGTCAATATAGATGGGAGACATCACGACACCGCCTGCATGGTCATACATATGGACTCGTAGTTCACGGTACTCGTTGGTAAGGGAGAGAAGTAAAACAAACTGCCTCCAAGGCTGGCGCCTCAAGAGAAGGTAAGCCTTGCTGTCGAGTGTTTTTCCAATGGTGCCTGAAGGTGTGTAGGGTTGTGACGTCAATTTGCAAACAGCTTTGATGGTATCCCAACGAGCCTCTACATCGTCCAACAATGCAAGGTCAGGCTTCCGCGACATTTTGTCATCCTTTACAGGGTGCGTGGAGTTCTGCGAACTCCATGTACGAATCACTGCTCCACTATTTGCTGCCATGATCTGTTCTCGCTTCTCCCAAACAACAGCACCACATGTAGCATTGAAGAATGATGAGAAGATATCCTCCAATGTGTGCGATTTTTGGCTGGTGTCATCAGTGGTGGCATCGACCTCCGGAGTGTGCTGTTGAACTGATGGGCTACTACTTGCACTCCCAAACTCCTTGTTGCCCCGCTATTCTCTTCTCCATCTCCAATCTCTTCGAGTTTGGGTAACTGATCAATGCCAGATTCACGATGCGACCTAGGAAGTGCCCAGTTCCACCTGCAGCTGTCTTCGTCATACAGCAGAACCAAAGACTGTTCATCAAGGTGAGCAAATTTAACATGAAGTCTGGTATCACGATAACAAATTTTATGTAATGGAACCTGGAGCTCTGTGACATCTGGGACGTCAATAGTAAATGTCCTGAAAATCCGCGACAATAAATAACTAAGAGGCTGGGTAGAATCAGCTGGTTCTTCTTCCTCTACAATTAAATGATTGAGCTCGAGATCGGTGAGGATGTCCATTGTAGGCACGTCACTGACACGGGGAGCCGACATCAGTGACACTAACTTGATTCCAAAGTCTACAGTTTTGCTGTGATCTGCGGGTGCCATGACTGGGTGGAATTGGAGTAGTAACAATGACACATTCATCCATACTATGATAGTTACACATGTATCTTTTAGTGTACAAAAATGATACTGATGAAGTATGAACGTGGTGTAAGTTCCCTACTCGGATAGTGCAAAAAAGGTATTTTTGTCCCAAAAATAATTTAACCAAATTCTGTCGCATGCTCCAAGCTATTGTACATTGTGAGACCGTGTCCGCAGTGGCACCAAACATGGGGAACGAGATGGATAGGCGCTCTAAGCTGAGAAACTGGGATGACATTGCCCATGCGTGTGCCATTCGAGCGTTTTGCTCTCTTCAATGTGTGGAACTGAGTGGTCGGATCACGTTCACCAGAGATATCGAAAATGTAGGACGTAAGTTAGGAACTGATCGTCCCATGCCCATGGTGTTCCACTTCGACCAATGGGCCGAATGACAAGCCTAATTTGGCCAATGGAGTGCCCTGCGAGAGATCATTCTTTAGATTAGTGAATGTCACCATGAAAGACAGGAAGAACGTACCTGAAAGGCCGCTGGCAGGCCAAGAGTGCCCTGAGTTGGTCTGGATAATGACCGTATCATAACGACCCAAAGTCCATGGGTCACTGGGTGGTATGCAGTTAAGTGTTTGGGCGGGTCAAACATTATGGGGTTCATGAAAATCAGTCTCCTGCAAACGAATTTTAAACCACACTTGAAGGTTATCAAATGGAAGTTCAGCATCATGTGTGGCCCTTCTAGGACCGCCTATTGAGTGTATGTGATTACCATAGGTCTTTTCATGGTGAAGGAAATCTGCGATAGCTGGCCGCAAGTCTGGTAGGCTGAACATGATGGTGACTTCATCGATAGTGGCATTCCTAATGGATGGATGATAAGAAAGATTAAGAGCAGTGTGCCCGACGATAAAGGAACATAATGGAAGGAGTACCAATCCAATTTCCTTGTGCTGGAGTATTTTTGCCATCGAAAAGTAGTTTGTGATAGGACATGGTTGTCTGGGTCTTCGAGTCTGGGATAGTAGCTGTGCAGGAAAGTCATTCACGTCATCATCAATCTCGTCATCCTCTTTAATAAACTCATCTCCAAAAACACCCAGGTCTTCACTCCATGAACGATCCAAACGACTAGTGGCAAGGTAGAACCAATTGCATTTATCAGCGCGGTCAAGATAACGACAGATTTGCGAGTCATAATTATTATTATTGCTGGATCTTGCGGGGTCTTTGACCTCGGTGATGTGCGCATGTTCAGTAACATCTGCAGACCACTGTGCTATAACGCCAGAGTTCCGGATGCTAGGAACAATGTTCTGCATGAGCTCGAGTTTCAGGATCTGCCAATTGTCGATGACTTTACCACCTTTTCCCTGACAAAGACCGGCGGCGATGACTGCATGCTTGTTCGCATGGAACTCATCCAGTGTGGCTGTAATGTGAGCAAGATGCTTGTCGTCGATATACAGTGATTGGACAAGGTAACGAAAGTGCATAAGCGCGCGTATAGCAACAACAACTGCAGCAGGTACTGCATCCGCACTGACTGCGATGATGGATCGCTGAATGTCTCAGTGACAATGACCTGTGACCTGCTTAAGTTTGGAGATACCTTCATGAAAATGACGATGGCCAGTGGTGGGCTGTGTAATGGAAAACTGAAAGTCTATCTTGGACCCTCCCACTCCAAGGATAATCCACTGTGCGTCATGGTCCCAAAACTCCTGATGAACGTGGTGTAGTGACTCAGGTGTGAAAAACTGGGAGGGATCCGCTAGCAACCAGTCTGACCAGAATGGTTTGTCTATGCCATTCAGGCGAAACTTCTGCGCTTCACGGAAAAATGCCTTGACATCGTTTGGACGAGCACGTGAACGCATGATTTCTAGTTGCGCAAGAATCTTTGATCATGTCCGGAGTTCGTGTTGGAAGGGATCCCCAAAATTTTTGTACATTGCCATGGTTACCGGGGACATCTTTCCACCAACACATGCTAACATCATGGCTTCTGGCGTGTCAGCAATGTAACTAGCGAGCATCATGAAACAGTAGCAGCTGCATCCAATGGGATCGAACAACATGGTGCTGTTTCAGGCAGCCAACTTCAGAGGTTCTAGTACGATGTCCAGGCAATGATGAACAAGCCGATCTTGCAACACACCTCTCATTCGTTTATTTTTGTGAACAAATTTCACGACCGGTAGAAGGGCAGTGAGAAGGAAGGCATTTGAAGACGATTTTAGCCGCGTGTCCATGTGAATGTTGGCGAGGCTGATAAGGAGAGGATGCGCAACACGATCGCCTGACAATGAAGTTATGCATGTTTTGTCCGAGGACAAAATGGTACCGAGGAGAGTTGCGCCATGGGGAAGCGCCGACTGCAAGAACGCATGAGATAATGATTCTAAGAGGGACTGTATTACATACCTGCATCTGCCAGGCGTGTTCGCCTGTCACCCATTCAGTGTATATCCGAGAGAGCCTCTCCGCTGTACTATACACCTTGCAAGCCGTGTAGTCGATACGATTGTGAAATAAAGGATGGTTGAATATAGTAGCGATGCATTCAAGAGGATCTCGCCAGTAGAGAACTGCCGGAGACTTTGTGGGATGTAAGGTAGGAATAACTCGAGACTTCCAACGAGGTCCACTAGGTAGCGATTCAGCTCGACCTCGTAACTCTTTTGCCGAATGGAAGGATAAAGGTAGGTCATTGATCTAAGTGCTCCTTGAGCTAAGCTGTCGCAGTGATGATCAAATTTAATACTTACCATCTCTAGTGCTAGGAAATCGTTGATTTTCCCCATGCTTAAGCCTGAACGAAGCAGCCATGCTGCAAGCTGCCATTCTCTTCGACCACTGAACGGATAGTATAAATTTTTTTTATGATAGATGCTATTTTCGTCAGCATCGAATAGGCTTAGAACATGTGTAGCCCTCCTCAAAAGCCAGTGGGGGTTGCGGAAAGTAGTCGGTAACTACCTCACTGTCCTTGTCCCGAGGTCCGCCTCCAGATTCTTGCTCAAAGTCTAAATCCTCTCCGAAACTCGTATATTCTTCTTGTTCATAGGAAGGGACTTCGCCAATATTATCTACCGCCATGGGATCTTCGGTGAGTGGTAAAGTGGAGTTGAGTTGAATGAGATCTTCTAGCCAGTTATTGCATCCAGACCGTGGTTGACTCATATGACGAGCGACAGATGTGTGGTCTCAAAATTCTTTCCCGCACGACGGACAATGAGCTACGACCATGACGCACTGGTATTGATATGTGAGTCGCGGACTTACGAAAAGCAAAAAGTTGATTTTCAATATGAATTCGGCATTTTCCAGATGCCCCACCTTACATTGAGTCCCCATAATGCTGTCCTCATCGCTGAAGTTTGACATCACTACTCTGCGATCACTATCAGCGCGTGCTTCTTGCTCTGATAATTCTGCTTACTCTCACACCAACTGTGACGATGAATCTAATGGGGAACCACCTGGTGGTACATATGACTTATATGGTGTTCTTGAAGCTGTCAATTCGCTGGTGGGTCCTTTTCGTTTCTCGTTTCACATCATTCTTATCGTACCTTACATTTCAATAGTCTAGAACCCATGATCTAACTGACTCGGAGGCAAGTCTTGTGCTTGACCTTGTGAGAGCAAAACGAGAAGTTTTCCAAGCACAGAAGACACTTGCAGACTGTGTGCTACAGGGAGAACGAGATGTTCGCACGTCTACTCAAATTTCAAGCAGCAGCTGCTGAGAAGAAACTCGATGAGACAGACATAGGGTTGGGATGTATGAGGATTATTTTTAAAGATCGCAGTTGGTCCCACATCTCTCACAGTCGTGGATCACACGGACGAGGTCAGTCAAATACGCATGGTGAGTCCGTGCAATATCTTGCAATATTATTGGTCTTAAGATTTAGGAATGGAAGAATCGCAGGGCTGGCGCCCGACGATTGTTCTCGATTGATTAATATTCGTATTCGTGACATATTTGTATTATCATGTTGGGTTATGCTGTCCTCATCCGTAATTTTGATGTACTATGTAGTATGCGAAGCTTATGTTTATATCGCCTTCAATAAAGATATTCTATGCAACCGGTTTTTGTATGATACAGCATGCTTGTTCGAAGTTGGACCGCTTTAGCATAAGTGTTAAGGTTCTAGCGAGCATTGGTACTAAATTTATATTGCTACTAGTAGTATGGTACTTCTACTTAAGCTGTTGGATGTAGGCCTCATTCCTTGGGAATCTGTTTGAACTGTGAGTGCGTTATTGCTGTCATTTGTGAGCCTGCATGAACTGTAGAGTTCTGTGGCTTCCTGTCGCTAGAACCCAAATTTGTGACCTCTGTGAGAAAGTTACAATTTACTGATGCACCATTCGCAGAAAGTGAGTGTGTCAATCCTCATTCGAGCAACAACCATGCTGATCCTAGTTGTTGCCCACCGTTCGCAGTTGGTGAGTGTGTTGATCATTGTTCAAGCAACAGCCATGCGGATCCATCAATAGGACGTGCTTCGCCCCTATTATTGTGTAAACATACTGTCCGATTTACCCTCTGTGGTATGTCAAATTGGTCACCGATTGTACACATGTCTCATGTTGCGAATCTATCAGGCCCCTGGCTCATCACCCTTGGAGAACATTGTCCACATCAGGAAAACCACCGGCTGGTTTTTCCCACTTATGTCACTTTTTGCCCCTTGATGTTTGGTAAATGCAAGTCAAAACACTGCTTTTCCAACTTAATAGACTTTCGCAAAAGCAAATTCAGGGTGCGCCCAGTTAGATCACCAAAAAGCCAGAAAAGTTATATTAAGTATAATAAGTCATAAATAATAATACTACTGCTAGTACCACAAAAATGTGTTGGCCGGCATGTTTCGGAGGGGAAGAATAGTAAATAGAGGGATGAACCTGGACATCGTAACGAGACCGCACCCATGCGCATCATATTCTTCCGAGATGGTGAATGGGTGCCGTTGTGTGAGGGATGGACCTGGAAATCGTAACAAGACCGCACCCGTGCGCATCATATTCTTCTGAGATGGTGAATGAGTGCCATTGTGCAAAGAAATGGAGGGACGAACCAGGAAATCATAACAAGACAGACTCAAACCGTATGAGAGCCTCGAGAGCCGTGCCGAATACTGTTCGTAACTCTAAGTTCAATATAGCGCGCCACAGTCGATACTTGTTTGGGGACTTACAAAATTTTCAAACTTCCAACCTTCACGATCCTGCCATCTCACTCCAGCAAAAGCCTTTGCCTCAGTGTCCCCATCTCCTCGGTCATGTCTACAACAGATATCCCTCGTCGTACCCGTCCATCAAATGCAACTGCCCAGCCTGGTCAGATCGTGCTTAATGCACAAGTCAAGAGACGTACCAAGGCACAAAAGAATGTGGATGAAGCAAAAGAATTGAAGGAGGCACAGGTCTGTGATACACTCCCTCATAAGTCTTTTTTTCGTTGAGCTTGACTGACTCGTTCAAACCCCCGCTCCCAATACACGCTCTACTAGCGAAGAACTAGGTAACTCATCACACTTGCGGTCTCTATTGTAAATTGGTGAGTATTATTTCATTTATATACGTCGTATGGACTTTGCTGAGCGGACGTCTCGTTTCTCTTCTCTTTGGTAGCATAAACGTCTGCGTCCAAAGTCCATGCGTGCTAGTAGGACGACGCGGGTGGTGCGTCATCTTTGGCTTCTGCATTGTCCACGCTGTCCTCGGCTGCAGCGCCACTGCATTCTTCTTCTTCTGCGACACCGGTCCGAGTCGTGGAGGTGGTGAGTCTCCTTTGTGGAGGAAGGATGATGAAGGCAAGACCGTTTGCAACGCGTAAGTTCTCATTTGTTGTTCCCTCTATATTCGTACCAATCTCTTATATACATACAGATGTGGCCTCTACTATAAGCTTCACGGCTCTGCTCGTCCCATTAGTATGAAATCCGATATTATTCGGAAGCGCTCTTGACACGATGCTCATGCGCAGCGCTCCTCCCTCACCGAGCCCCCAAGCACATCTAACACGCCTGGCACTCCTTCCGTTATGGAGGAGACAGTTTCAGAACGGGTTCTGGTGCGACAAGCGCAGGTACTTCTTCGTCTTCGCGGCGCAGCAGCATGGACTTGTCTAGTCCCTGCTGCCATTCCATTTGCTCCTGCATGACACATGTCCCCCGTTTTTCCTATGCTGTCGTCTCACTTTTTATTTCCTTAATTTTCTGCTTATCGTGTAGTATGCCCTGTTTTATGAAAGACTTGTGCCGCTTTATCTGCTTTCTTAAGCAAAATAAGTGTTGAAAAAGCGAAAATTCAGAGATGGAGTGGGCTTAATTAAGTGGCTCGCGCTTTTTCGCTCAAATGACTTAATACTTCTTTTCATGTAATTAAGTGACAAATTAAGTTAGAAAAGTAACTGGTGGTTTTCCTGATGCAGGTCATTTTTGGTGAATTTTGAGGCTGCGTTGCGATGAACCTGCTTATTATTGGCTGTTTAGCTGCTGTCATTATCTTCGAACACTCTTTCTATATTTTCGACAAGCGGTGCTATCTTAAGGACCAGTGGCAGTCTGCTCCCTCTTTTTATGTCGCCCTCGACCAGTACATATCATCTTCGCATGCAGCTGCTGTCAGGAAAGCTGTGACCGTCGCCGTCCACACCTACCAAGGACCCTCGTTTACTTGGAAAGTCAAGCCATTGTTTGGACGCTTCCGGGTGGGAAAACAATCTATTCGTGACTCTCAAAAGATGGAGTTGATCGAGACGATTGTTAAAATCGCTTTAGAGCATCACATGCGTATGTTTAAATGTTATGCAGTGGCAGCAATTCCGCTAATCCGTCGTCTTCAGCAAGACCTCAATATTAAGCAACGCGACACAACATAGATGGCGACGTGGAGCTAACGCATCTTAGCGGTGGATGTACCTTCCTCGGGTGGTCTGTTGAGGTAGCTTTAGGAGGTGAAACTATACGACATGGTTCTATGATTACAAAAGATAGCGCTTTCCCCGATACGGTGTACGGGTGTTTGAAGCATGGGAGTCACCCTCAGCTGAGATGGTGGTGGGATCTACTGGGCTTGATGTACCCCTGAAGCATTCTTTGTCCGATTCAAGTGCATTGAGGTCGGGTATGCTCAACGTACCATTTTGCTCCACAGCCTATCTCGACTTGGGCCAATATTTTTAAAAGCAATACAGTTTTGTCATTCAGAGTTACATCATATATAAATGCATGGAACGTCCCTGTCAATGTTAGTGACACCAGTTGGTAGCTAAGACTGGGCTGTTGCCGGATAGTAGCGTTCGAAATCAAGCAGCAGACGCACGTTGAAAGTTTTCATTTTTTGAAAGACAGTGCAGGTTACTATGGCTCTGGATTATAAGCCAAGGGCGGATATCGTGATTTATCATCCGTGCGCTCCGTGCATCCCTGGGGCCTACGGTTAGAACTGCATCATTCTCGTTTTCACTAAACAATGAGTTTATCGACCGCATGCATCATACTCCAGAATCTAAATGCATCTTCTCCGGGGACTGAGACGATACCGTCGTGGAACAAAGGAGAAATCGTCTTACAAGATGTCTGCATTAGGTCCAAGGACAAATTTGCAGCGTTGGATGTCATTTATGCTATGGTCTTCAGTGTAGCCTGTAGTCTTTTCATGCGTATCTTATCGATATATGAGAGAGCGCCTAAAGAGGGCCATAAGAAAACACTCGCCTTTCTGATCAGTGTAACAAGCTGAATCTCGTGAGAGCTTGCTGCGACCGATAGCCGTTATGATAACGTCCGACGTCGCCAAGTGTCAGCATCCCAGTGTGCAATTTAAGACACGAACAAAAATCTCGATCTTTCGATGGGGTCGAGTAATACTGACACAAGAAATCGAACAGCTGTTGGCGATCAGCGTATCGATTTGTAGTCACGCCACGCTAAAATATGAATATCCTGTGACTGCCTTCGTAAGCCGGACATGGAGGGACGGTCAGGTCTACCGTACGAGGTGAACACGGGAGCAGAGGATGAAAAAGGTGCGTGGCAGAAAACATACCAGCTGTGGGTACCATCCGAAATAATACACCCTGTCCACGCCACATTTCCCTCTGCTGCACCCTTCTGTATATCATGCTATAACAGCGGATGCAGCAGGTAAGTATACCCTCCCCTCTGCCTGGCATGTCGATATTTTCAGCCACTGGCGCTGACACATCTGATGAGGAAGACAAGCACGAATATGCCTGTCGTCGAGCTGGTGGCGACGGGTGTTGGCTGAGTGACACGAAATTGATAAGCCTCATGTTTACTAACTGTTGCTATGAAGTTGGGTTCATTCCACAAGGATGCAGGCATTAGCACGGACCGCTCGTGGTGAAGTCCTGCGGATGGATGCTGGGAGGGCGAATGTAGGGAGTGCTTGTACCCCCCCGTGGAGGCGGGGGCTTATATATACTGTTGGTGCCGTTGGCAGGCTTTCTCCTTAGAGGAGCTGAGAAATGATTCGTTAGGGGGGTCCGCAGGCGAGGGCCTTGGGATTCAAGTTGGGATTGCCCGCATGGCCGGTTGTCCCTTGTGGTGGAGTTTGGATAATTGATGGATAAACTGAATTTATTGGACAGGTATGTTGCGTGCGGATTATGAGTAAGATTATAAATTGGTAGGTGGAGATGAACGATGATGGAATCATGGAGCGTGCGGGAGACAAATTTATGTGCTGCCTCTTCGCTGATATGATATCCCTAGATGACCAGTCATATGTCGGACTTTGGACTACTACTCACTACTATATTGAACCTTGCGGCAAACAGTACGTATACAAGTGTCGACGTCGTGAGTTCTCAAGTCAGGCTGTAGAACTCACGAAATCACCACGAGTTTAGTTGGCTGATGTAATACCACGTGACCAATTCAGAGTCTTTAGATTCGTCAGCCAGGGCCCAGTTGCTTCAACTCATGCTCGCAACTAACTCACAGCAATAACTCGACTAAATCTAATATTGACCTTTGGCGTCGCGGTTCTTCAAAGTGCGTGATCATTATGAGCATCTGTCTATTACCTCGTGGTTGCCTTTCCAGTATCTGCTATAGCGCTTCATACTCGGACGGACCATCCGGCGAGATTCAAAATACCGCAAAGCGCTGGGGCAGAACGTGGTATGCCACGCATAGCATCATTGGGTCTTGGCGCGTATTCAAAAGGTCAAGCTCCGATCCTTGTGGAAGCTATATCAATGCCCGACCAGCACGGCAGACATGTTCTAGATCAGTGGTACCGGCAGGACTACGTACTAGTACAATCTCATGTGGGTCTACACCGGTAAGGTTCAATGTCCGGACAAAGAATATATTTCCCGCCGCCCGCACCAGCACAGCACGACACACAATCCTCGGCTCCTAACTCCGTCGCCATTCCTTTTGTTGAACCTTCTCATGATCATACATAATCTCGGTGTAACCATGGGGTAACTGCAATGCGTACGGCACACTACCTTTCATCCTGCCATCTACACATTCGTCGTAGTCTTGTTTCGGACGATGCTTCAAACGGTCAGGATTTGACTACTAGTGACTATGTACTTATCATATGGGCGAAACCCAAACTGCGCCATGCGGAGGCGTGTTCCGTTGTCGATATCTGGTTCCGAGCGGTGGTGCTGGTGCTGGCCTTTTTTCTATTTTGGCGTGCTGGGGGGTTACTTACCCCGCGCTAAAATCCGTCGGCGACGCAGCCGACCGCCTTAACGTACGACGTTCCTCATTTGCGAACGCAGGGTCCTATCACATACGCACGGATTCTCATTTGCTCATGCCCCTGATCACGACTCATGAAGACGTGTTCTGTATATGGAACCACCCAGTCATGTGAATGATCCTTGTACGTGCTTTTCGTACTTATGGATCTTCATCTGCAGCTGACTCGCACGAACAACAATCGATCGTACGTGAGTAACGTCTTTCGAATGGTTAGATCAGATACACGTCCAGGGTCGTCTGAGGGGCTTTTCATTATTATTATTCTCCGACGAGCCACTTATAATCACTCGAGTCATAATGTACCTTGCTTGCATCATGGAAGTACGGCAGGCGCGCGTATTCCATTTAAAAACTGGCGTTTATGCGCCCTTGCTCCTAACTTGAATGTTGCCGCGATAGCTTTAACTTTAGTTCCTGGTTCTTCTGGTGAGAATAACTACTGTTTACAAAACACCGTGTACATGTGCCAGTGGAATCCCTGGCTGACTGACTTCTTGGGTTCTTCGTACCCGGACATGAGGTCATGAATGTTGATTCGGTTGTGATGAATGGCGCTCCAAGGGGTATGAAGATGAAGTTCTAGGCGTTGGACCATGATTCTTCATGCTCCAAGGGCTCGGTTCGAAGCAGAAAATCTCGAATCATATCAGAGACTCGGAAGTAGGTAAGTACCGTCACTGGCGGATGAACAATTGCGGTACCCGAAAATAGGCGTTACAAGATAGTCTATCTCATACCCTATAGCATATATACGGACGATTTAAGACATACACTAGTCCAACGTAGGCGTTCTTTATCCGAGTCGGTAGGTACAATGGTGCGATAATTTAGCCAAGTACAGACGGCGTGGTTCATGCTCTTGGTTCTAGACCTTGGAAGCACTGGCGGCGAATATTCGAATATTCATTCATGATCTACGAGAAAAAGATACGACGACGTCCACTTATATTCATGGCGTCCCCCTATCTGGCGACCGCTGAGATGAACATAACGTATGTACGTTAATGACTGCGTGTAAAATCCGCAGTAGAGCGATCCCGATCGAGGCTGGTGATCATTATGGGAGATCGATGTAACTTACTTTGGAATTGTGGAGTGGTGTTTAGTACTTGATCGTAATGTATGAGCTGGGGGTGGGAGGGGAAGCCTAGCTCGTCTCCACCTATAGATAATTATAAGCTCGCGATAGTGGAGTATCAATGACGAGTAGGTCCGGGCCCCGGGAGCAGTAGTGACATCGAATACATAATTGGGCGAGCAGTGATTGCTCATAGGATGAGCCAGTCAGCAATGCCATTAATTCGGAGACTTGGCGTTTATTGGTAGGAGTGCCCGAATGTACGTCTTTGGAGTAACGATAAGCAAACCCAAAAGAAAGGCAACTTACGAGCGGCCGAGCGAAGAGCCTATGCCGTATGTTGATGGTACATGAACTCAGCTGGTCGTACTACTCCACTTATGTACGTGTCAGTCGAAGACTGTTTTGGTAGTGAGTTTCCCAAGCGACGATTATTGTAAGAGTGACTTACGAATGGTGGAGCTTGAAGGGTCGCCTGGTTCAGGCCCCGTGGCGAGTGATTGACGTTATGTATATAGGATCGGAATCCCACAGGAGATATTGGGATGCCCTGGCGGTGGCGACGCTGTTTATGAAAGGAGGGACGTTCCCCCACACGTATTAGTTATCGCGGTACATAAAAGAGGGCGGAGATCGTCGGGCGTATGTGGGGAAAGTCCTTTGGTGAGCTGGATATGGCTGAACATTCCAGAATATGAAATGATACTTGTTCCGACCGAAAAGACTGAAGATATGAAAGGGACGATTTGAAGATAGACCATCTGGCTACTCACGAGTGGTGGAAGAGAAACGTGCGAGAGCGGAGGCGTAGGTTTCCCTTTGTCATTCGATGGCCATACCTGGAGAGTGAAGAGGGCAAATACAGAAGCGGTGTAAGAAGGTGATTGGGGGAGTAAAAAATGCTAGTGGGACGACGGTGATCAGTGACGGAGTACTGGACGACCATCATATGGATGAGCTTGGTACTGAAATTGACGGCCGAAATAAGAAGGATAGAGGATGGAATATACGACGGGGAGAATCGGCCGGCGGCAGAGAGTGCTGTGGGAGTGAAGAAGAGAAGACCGGGCACTGTGCGGCACGGTGGGGCTTGGGACATTGAGCGAAATGACCGCGGGATGGCCTCGAGGCAGTCAGTTGGTTGAACGACAGGGGTGCTACCTGGAATGGATGGATGTCTGATGAGAGGCTGTGCAGTATTCGTTTAATTAAGGATCAAGTCGTCCGGGGAACCGGGATTGTAGGGTACAGGGCATTGAGATTGGGTTTGTTGTGGAGGAGATGAAATGGCATCGTGAAGAACATGAGGCGTACTTGTGAGTAACCTAACTTGGTATAAGTTTTGACTTGAGAAGAGAAGTCAACGAAGTTCACCTCTGACTAGTACTTACCATAGAACGGATGACTCGGGTAAAGGCGGTCGTATGCAATTACAATGTTCAATTACTGCAATGCAAATTTATATTCACTTTCAATTGGCTTACCGGGACACGTTGTCGAGGCACGGATACCCGGTACGATTGGAGGGGTCAAAACAAAAAAAAAATAACAACAATCATAAATTTTTTACGAAATGAAATATTTGATGGGCCTCGTGCTATTAACCGATCTCGTAAGCAAAACAGCCGCATCAGACTTTTACGCCTGGGTTCCCCGTTCCAATCAAAGTCTTCTTATACTCTGATCAAGCACACCGCAACTTAACGTTTACTTGCCTCGTTGTTCCTCTGGACGTTCATCAGTCCATGCCGTCCATAGTCAACCTCAAGTTCAAGGTCATTACACCCTTTTTTTTAATTCATGAAAGCGCTAATGCTAACGCTATTCCTGTGTATAGGGTAACAAGTCCTTTGTTGCTTTTAGCAACTTGAGCGACACCGAGTCACTCACAAAAACTTGGAAGGTAGTTATCTTCATATCTAATCTCGTTTAATGTTTTTACTAACCCCTTTCACAGGTATGCACCAAAGTCGCTTCATATCTCGAGCAGGGCCAACGCCTCGAGAATCTTTCTTGGCGACTATGGCACTTGCAAAACCTAATGGTCGACACCGACAATGCAAAGTCCAAACGCGAATTCAAGAAGTTGTCAAAGAACATGGGTGACAAACTCGACAAAGAGAAGGGCCGGTATGTTTCCTTTCATTCCTCCTACAGCCTCTTAAACTAATCCCTTTTCATAGTGCCATTGAATCTCTCGAGGCACCCGACTTCAAAAGAAACGCTTCAACTGACCTCATCCGTCAACGTGCCGTCGAACGCGAACGTTCCCGAGAGGCTTCCCAGAACGCCCGGCCCGGTACCATTAAGCGAATGCAGTTTACATTCAGTATCGACGCTCCCCCCGGCTCATTCCCTGCAACTTCATCTTCATCCTACACCTTCTCTGGCGAAGGCTCCACCCCCACCAAGCCAGACCTCAGACCTAGCGTTGAGTTCAGAGAGGGTCGCAGGCGCAGGAGAGGTGACGGATCCTCTGGCACTAACCATGCCTCTTCCGACTCCGCATCCAACCAGAACGGTGTTTCTTCCTCTACAACTAACGACTCATCTTACGAAAAATTCGCCGCCTCGTATGAAAAACTTCACTTCCCTCCCATCTTTAGTACTTCATTCGGTCCAACTGCTATCCTCTACTCTACCCCCACCCTATCTAACCCCATGAGCTACGGGGAAGGTGTCAGCGGTGGCTGCGCAACTGGTTTTAGCATTTACCGTCCGACTATCGAACTTCCTCTAGACGAACTTTTAGGCGAGGAGTACGATGGCGAAGATGACCAAATGGCTGACGCCCCCATCGAGCATCTAGACGATACGAAGGAGGACGGCAACGAAGAAGGTGACGTCGTCATGCGGTACGACGAATATAATAGCGGCAATATTAATAATGTCCCCACCCAACCCGAGGGCGAGTCCCTCCTTGGCGGGTCTGCAACAGCAGCTTCTGCTGAACAAGACGTTCTCATGAGCGATTCTCGTCAGCAGCAGCAACCTCAGCCATCTACTCCTGATCCGTTCCCGGTCCCGCAAGTTCCTTCTCACTCTCATACTCACGCTCAATCGCACCCGCGTACTCGTGGCAAGGACCGTTCCAGTAAGACGCCCACAAACCGTCCTGTACTAACTGTACAAACGTCTGCCACCAAGAAGACTGGTAAAGCCGGACGGCGTGCTTCTGGGGGCGTGAAGAGTCCCTCGTCTGCTGCTCCCTCAGCATCTGCTCTCAAGCACTCTGCTGCTGCGAGCGGGAAACATACTGCAACTGCGACAGTGCCTGCTTCCGCTACCGCAACGAGCCTTAATCCACTTCTCACCCTTGGAGGCGCTGCACCGGGTGGAGGAAAGGCAACACTTACTGCTCCCGGCGGCGTCAAGGCTGAGTGTAGCAATTGCGGCGCTACCCATACCCCGCTATGGAGAAGAGGCTTGAACGACGAATTAAATTGCAACGCTTGCGGTCTTTATTGTAAATTGGTGAGTATTATTTTATCTATATACGTCGTATAGACTTTGCTGAGCGGACGTCTCGTTTCTCTTCTCTTTGGTAGCATAAACGTCCGCGTCCAAAGTCCATGCGTGCTAGTCATGGAGAAGGACGACGCGGTGGTGCGTCGTCTTTGGCTTCTGCATTGTCCACGTTGTCCTCGGCTGCAGCGCCACCGCATCCTTCTTCTGCGACACCGGTCGTAGAGGTGGTGAGTCCCGGTGTGAGTGCGGCAGCTGCAAGTGCAAGTGCTATTGCGAGTGTGAGTCCAAGTACAGGTCCAAGTGCGGGTATAGGCGGGAGTGCAAATATCGCTACCGCAAGTTCAGTCAAGGGTGCTGGTCTAAGTTCGAGTTCGAACTGCAGGCCCAAGTGTCACTGCGACTACAACTGTGGCTGCCATTGCAACTGCTACTGCGGGCATGGGATTGGGTTCAGGCAGGGGCGAAGTCGTAGAAATCATTGGTAAGTCCGATGCCCTTTCAAGTGGGCTTTTGGGAGGCGTTATATATTAACTCCGTGTCTACAGGCAGCGCGCAGTGCTACAATTGTCACACGACTGCAACTCCTTTGTGGAGGAAGGACGATGAAGGCAAGACCGTTTGCAACGCGTAAGTTCTCATTTGTTGTTTTTTCCATGTTCATGCCAATATCTTATATATACATGCAGATGCGGCCTCTACTATAAGCTGCATGGCTCTGCTCGTCCCATTAGTATGAAATCCGATATTATTCGGAAGCGCTCTCGACACGACTGCTCGTGCGCAGCGCTCTTCCCTCACCGAGCCCCCAAGCGCTTCTAACACGCCTGGCACTCCCTTCCGAAACTCCTTCTCAAACTCAGACGCCCTCCGCGTCTCCAGGCGTTTCACGCCGCCCTACACCTTCGCCTTCGCCAATTCTAGCAGCCAGACAGTACCACTCAACCTGTTGCCTCGCACAACATGAGTGCGGGGATGGGAGCAGGCGCAGGAATGGTGGGTACAGGGTATGGGAGGCAGCAGCGAGTTGATGGGTGCGCTGGGTGACACCTATGCGGTGTATAACCCCTTCCCTGGGCCATACCACCCAGACTATCTTAGCCAAAATTGGGTGCCGCCCAGTATGGCTGGCGTCGGTAGTGGCACAAACGAGGCGTTACCATTTTCTGGAGTCGACAGTATCGACGGGGAAGTGGGTTCCAATGCGTCTTCGTCTAACGCGTCTCCCAATATCAATAGTGCCGGCAAGCATTTCTAATAACGCCAATACCACTGCCAACGCCAACTCAAACTCTAACACGACTGGGCGTACTGCCAAGCGCCGTCGTATGAGCACTGACAGCGTGTCAGAGCCACCTAGCAGCGCGGTTTCTTACTCCTCTTATGGAGGAGACAGTTTCAGAACGGGTTCTGGTGCGACAAGCGCAGGTACTTCTTCGTCTTCGCGGCGCAGCAGCATGGACTTCCCGTTCTTCAGCCCTTATACTGTATTCCGAGGGAACGGTAACAACGCGTTCTGGCACCACTCTAGCAACGGTGGCGGTGCTGAACGCAGCCCGCAATTCGTGCACCCTCCAATGTTACCTGAAGCTGCTGGAATTTCTGATGCACACGCACACGGGCATGGGCGTGGTGGGCATGGGCACGGGATGGATTTCCTGCACCCGCCAATGATGCTTCCTCAGGAGGAAGAGAGTCTCTTCGCGACCTATTTGCATCCCCCGATGATTCTTCCGCAGGAGGGTGAGCAGGTACAGCATGGGTATGAGTATGGACAGGGGGAGTACTACGAGACGGGGAACATGCAGCAGTACTAGACAGTTGGATGTCGCAACATTCTACGTCTTGCGCTCGGTTTGTCTCAGACGTCTTTTTCCTGTCCTCTCGTCTATCGCATCATCTCCTGCATCGACATCGACATTGCATTCCTCATCTGACGCACGACTCTGAACGCATTGACACGATATCACGCCATTTCACGACAATTTTTTCTGTCTCGTCTGTTTCTCCCTTTGCAAATGTAGAGTTCACGCATCGCATGGCTTCTCTTTGCTCGTTGGCCTTGGTGTCATCTTTTTCATCGTCCTTTGCGCAATCTCTTTCTCTCGTCATCTCTTTTACCCATCTACAATCTGGCACGCTCGCTCAAGGCATTCGCGCAGCTTAGACTCATAGAGTCATTTCAATTTCACGCAATTCATCTCCATTGTGTATCGGTGCTATTTCTACTGTAATCGACTTTACACGCGGGTCTCGTTAGCTCTGTTCATGCCTTGGGATAAGGGTTCACCAGTGAATCCGTTTCATTGTATCACGTACTTTCCTTCCTTGTATTCATCCGTTTCCTTACGTTCCTTTCTTTTACCCGCTCCATTGTACTTCTTCACCCTCATATCCCTACCCTCCATCGTGAATATGGCTACTGTACATGTCACTCTTCCAGACCCACCAGGTTTCTTTTCCCTCACGTCTATCCGTGTATATTTTGGAAGATGATTCCTCGTCATTAGCTCAGTCGTTTGTATTCTCATTTACAACATACGTACATAACATCGCGAAGGGCTTCGCGGATCAAGCCCCCCAATGGAGATGGTTATATCTATCTACTGGTTATAGTTTGAGCGCAGGTTTAAGAGTGAAATGGGCGCAGTTGCCTCTATCGCTGTGTGGAGTTCGTGTTCTAGACGGGCTTATCATCTCAGGTACGCTAGTCCTGTTCAAAGTTTCTGTAACAGTGCAATAGCTTGAAGTGGCGAATCAATACGGCACACGTTTATCCTTTCTCATTCCAGGGGTAAACCAAATTCAGAATACACGAGTTGCCTTCCGCCGACATGCTAAGACTTGATGAAACTGAAAAAAGGATGTACGACCAACTGCGCATGGAGGAACGCCCAGGCTTCTGGTTGTGTCCATCACGGAGGTGACGGTCAAACGTCAAACATTGAGCCTCGCAACATGGGATCGGTCCGAGCGATTGGAGATTGGACAAATACAAGTGTTGGTCCAACGCTCAGCATTCTCTGCCCCTGTCCAAGTACTAGGCGGGGATCTCAAGAACAAGGATGGCGACATTCCCCGGGGAGAATTTTGATCGTTGGAGTGCCGATATCATGCGTACCTCACATCTTGTCGTATTGGATGAAGTTGGTAGTCAAGAACATTCTATCTATCTATCCATCAGGAATTTTTCTTTGGAAGTTGGACGAGAAGCGTGAGCCGGGTAAGGACAAGCTGGCTCTTGATTGATCCCGGGCAATAGCACCACATGATGATCTATTCGATGATGATCGTAGACAAGAAGAAACCTCAAAACTAGGCGACCCCTCCATAACGACTTCCTCGTAACCGCAGCGAACTGTATTCCAATACATTTGGAGATAGAGAAGATGATGGATGATGGGTTCGGAAAGTTCCTGTTCGTAGAATCCCTGGATAGTCGAGTATTTTACGTCGACAGATGGACATTAATATTGGTTCCATTTTACAGGCCTCAACGACTTGCAGAATTGAGTAATGGTCGAGTGCCTTCTCGAGCACGACCCTGGGACCATTACGCAGAGATCACTAATTTAAAGTTTAGGCCAAGAATGTACAAAGGAAATGAATATCATGCCTCATGTGAACCCGTAAGTATTTGCCGAAGGCAAGGTCCAATCAGACACTACCGTTAACGTCGATCGTATGTTCTTTTCTTTTCTGAATTTCAACGTCTGGTAGCGCCCCAAGACGCCGTTATCAATTTCTTCATTCGCGGCAGGCGTTGAGATCTCT